TTTGGGTGGAGAGGCTCCGGGAGGCTTCGGTTACTATACATAAAGAGTCATTGATCTTCGAGGGAGTTTCCTCTTCTTTTTCTAGCAAATACTCCCTTTCCCCTTATTAACGCCTCTATTTTAGTCTCAGCCTTAGGATGGAGAAAACAACCAGATTTTAAGCCAGCAGCACGCTTAGAAGGACAAAAATGGGTATATGATTCATATCAAACTCCAACAGCCAGGGAGCTAGCCCGGGTAGGACATAAACACAGCCTGACGCTGTCACTTTGCTGAATTGGAGCTCACAAGGCTTGCAAAAGGAGGAAGATTTTTCCACCCTTTCAGGCTTGTTTGCTCTTAATATTCAGATCTACCTTTGTAGGAATAATAAATGTTTTCAGGTGCCCCTCAGCCCAACAAGCCTCACCTTCCCAGTGCCACCTGGCAGCAACCTGGATGGCTTCAGAAGAGCCCATGCAAATTTAAATGGCTCCACCTGTAGCCATGAATAAATCCAGGATCTGCCCTGTTCAAGCTCACCCTGAGCCTCTAGAAGTAGCTTTGCCTCTCCTGGACTCTGTGGAGTCAGGTGAGATTCAGTGCTCTGTGATGAAGAGGCAGCCAGGCATGGGACACACCTAATGTCCCTTGGAAAGATAACCCAGCTGTTTCACACGGAAAAATCCTGACATTTAGCCCTCACATGGGCCCAAATCACTGCCAGGAGTGGCTATTGGTTAACAGTTTGCCCAGCTCAGAGGAATTTAACAGGGTAGTCATGCAGGCAAGAGAGAAGCGTGCCATCTGTGCCTCCACGGCTCCACGTCAGGAGTTCAGGTTTCTCCTCCCTACTTGCTCCACGGCTGTGACCAGATGCATGTCCCAGTGCTGGGGGTGCAAATAGATGTTCTGGGTGGCTGGCACCCACTTTCAAGCCACTGGCAGGCCTTACAGCAGCCTCTTGTCCTCACTGCCACTTCCTATGGATGTAGATACAGCAGAGAACAGCCAAGCCGAGGGGACTTGAGGCCGAGCAGTTTGACTGGGAGACAGGGTGATGATGGGCAAGGGGAGATCCCCCACAAAGCAAATTGAGATGAAGGCAAAAGCAGCTCGGTTTTGACTCTGACATCCCCGTGAGACAGACTTTTAGAGGGGTGTGGAGGATGCTCACAGCACCTCATCTCCTGCACCATCTCTGGGATGATGCTGTGCCCTCCCTGATCCCCTTCCAGGAAGCCTGTCCCAACAGCTGAAGATCCACCTCTTTCCCCCAGTCCAACATGGTGCACCCCCCATGCACAGGGAATTTCGGAGATGACATTGTTTCTCAGGGGTTTTTTACTCAGTATATTCCTTGGAGATGCTCCAAGGCTAGGCAGGAAAATTGGACAACATGTACCGTGTTCTGAGGCAGAGGGGCATCCCAAAGGTCCCTGGCTGTGATAGGTGGCAAAGCTGCACCTTAGGGACCTTAGGGACCATCTCATCCCATCCCCTGCCACGGGCAGGGACACCTTCCACCAGCTCAGGTTGCTCCAGCCTGGCCTTGGACACTTCCAGGGATCCAGGGGCAGCCACAGCTTCTCTGGGCAACCTGTGCCAGGGCCTGCCCACCCTCCTCGGGAAAAATTTCTTCCCAATATCCCATCTAACCCTGCTCTTTGTCAGTTTGAAGCCATTCCCCCTGATCCTGTCACCCCATGCCCTTATCAAAATGTAAGCCACTGATTTTGGATTTCCTGCTTAGCACATGCCAAGAGTCAGTTCTGTCCACCTCAGCCCTTTAACCTTAACAAAAAAAAGCATCAAACCACAAAATGCCAGGACAGAAAACCCCTCTGACAGCTTATTTTTTTCTCTTAAGAGTCCAGCATGACAGATAACATTAGTGCCTGAAGCACTGTCCAGCTGGGAATTCAGATTTAGGAGGGATTTTGCAACATCAGTTATTCCCTCTACCCTACTGATTGCACCTATCTCTATCCCTGCCTGACACACATCACATCCCTATGGCCAAAGCCAGGGGTGCTTCCCCTCCTTCCCAAAGCCAGGCAGCCCAGCTCAGAGGCAGATAGGATGAACCTAAGTGGTATGCAACAGCTGCAGGAATTTTCCCCTGCCTTTTATGTTTTGCTTTCTAAGTCTCCTCATCTGCTTTGCACTCTCACAGATTTTCTTTTAAATGCATTCCAGTGGAAAAAAAAAATACAACAACCCACACACACAAGCACATGATTGCTTAGAAAGTGAATTCGAAACATTGCCTCAAGGGAAACACACACAAAAAAAAAAAAAAAAAAAAAAAAAAAAAAAAAAAAGAAAAAAAAGATGTAAAATGTTGAATTTTATGCACGGAGAAATATGCAATACGCAGAAAATAGCTGCTGGGGAAAATATTTAAGGAAATCACTTCATTGTGTCAGGGATAGAAATGATTGCTTTTTGAGAGCGTTATTGGGAACAGATGTATTTCTCCTGATGGAGGACATATTGTAATATTAAGAGGTCAGCACACACCATATAAACTCTAGACACACATAAACCCTTCAGATTATTTAAGGCTGTAGGAGTTAGTCTTTTAGCACACGAATCAATGATTAGAAAGGGTAGCCAATTTATTATTGCTTGGGAAAAGGCACTGTATTTCCCAGTCTGGGAAAAGAAAGAAAAGCTGAGACGGGGTGTTGCTTTGGTATTGTGTTATCCAGGTCCACCCCGTGGTGCCTGTGGGCTGTGGGAAGGTCACAGGGGATCCCATGGGCTGAGGGGGGGATTTTGTGGCACCAGGGGGGTTTCACTTTTCCCTTCTGCTGCCTTTCATGGCTGTAAACAGGCTCTGTGCAGCTGCTCAGGGTAAAAAAACCCAGAGCTCCCAAATGTTTGCTTCAGTCCTGTCATTTATTTGCTGGCAAGACATTCATTTTCACTGGTTTATCCTGATGCTCTGCTCGTCCCCAGCTGTTGCTGGGATGGGCTGCCAGCATTCTGATAACACAGGATGATAACGTGACTTCCTACCCTTTGGAAAAGAAATATGAGCACTTTGACAGCATTTTTTTTTCCTTAGCATGAATTTTAGTCCGTGTTTTTCATTCGTTGCTTGCAGCATTTTGAATCTATGGCATCCCACCCTTAAAGGGGAAGGGAGCACCCAAGACTCTTGGGTGCTCAGGGTTGAAAGGAAAGACGAAAGTCAGAGGGTCCACAAAAGCTTACCCAGTTTTATGAGGAAATTACACACTTGGCATGGAAATTGGTCTGTCCCTCCGTGGGGAAGAAGAGCTTTTCCCTCTCCACGTGTCCTTTAGGTGAAACTAGTTTTTCCAGGAGCAAGCTGTCCATCCATCAGGGAAACAGTCCAGCAGAGCAGGTTTGTTCCCACTGGAGGCACTGGTAGGTTGGGCTTGGAGCGGAACAGCCAGGGGGATGGACTGGTGCCAGCTTACAAATGTGATTTTTAAATTTATTTATGAATGACAGTGATACCTCTGGGCTGCAACAGCTGCCTCTGTGGATTGAGGGATTGCCAATAACAGGGAAGACTTGCTGTGTCTTCACTAACATGGTGTGCTGACTGCTGGCTCTGGGTGTCTGTCAAATGTCTCTCCATCTGGCACCATTGCTAGTATTATTATTGTTATAATTATCATTATTATTCACAAATATGAAGGGAAAGGTAGAAGATAGCTTTTTCCAAGCTCATAAATGCCAGAGTCAGGATCCAGTCAGGTTTTGGGAAACCAGGTGAAAGTTGTCCCCTCCCTTCCACTAAACTGCCCAGTGATAGCCCTGAGGAGTGTTTCTCCAGTGAAAGTGGGGTTAGCTGTTTATTTCCAAATTTTCCCAAATTCCCAGCTCTTGGTTCCGTTTCCAGCAATGGCCATCAGTGTAGTTACCATGGTTTTCCTCAAAAAGGGGACTAGTCTTTCCCCTAGCCCTCTTAGGCTCTTGTATTGGTCATAACTCTCTGGATTGATGGAATTGGCAAGGATGGTATGAAGAAAATTGAATTATCTTTTTTTTTCTTTTTTTTTTCTTTTTTTTTTATGATGATGATGACCCGGTTAACAGTTTGATGTATTTGAGCCACTTTTGGCTGATTTGAGTAATTGAGCTCCTTTTGGGGAATGAAAGGTATTAAATCACTGCGTTCCCTTTCGGGAGGATATTTTCTCAGTTAAGCAAGCCTTGCTGGTTTCTGTTCCGTATGCTTGCAAATGAAGATTAAATAATAAATTTGTCATCTCCATGGCAACAGAAACACAGCTTTCCTGACAGAGACATTGTTTCAGAAGGCTTGCCAGGTGGATCACAGATAACAAACTTGCTTGAATTATATTTTTGGCTCCAAGAGATAAAATATTATTCCTGGGGCCTTTCCAAAAGACGATCAGCCAGCACAGGCCATTCCACCACCGGGGCTGTGAGCTTGGGGGAGTCCAAGGCCTTCTTGCCGTACAGCCAGATCATGTGGTTCAGTCGGGTCTGGAGCATTTAAATTTCCATTTGTACATTTGGGACAGCTGAAAAGGTGAGCTGAGGCTAAGTGGGATGTTCAGGGCAATTACTGTGGTGTTTAGAAAAAAATAAAGTAGGAAAATGGCAACAGCAAGAGGGAACATCTCGACCAAGATGTTTCAGCTGGTTGTCCACGGGTGAGGAGGGCAGGTGAGAGGCAGTGATGTATTTTGACGGTAGAAATATAGGCTCAGCAGCTTCCTATGGACTCAGTATGACCTGGGACGGGACAGGCAAGAAGAAAGTCATCTGAGTCCACAGGGGTGATTAGATGTCAATCACGTGAGTGAGGATTCCTCTTGCAAAGGACTGCTTGCTATGAAGTAGACTGTCCAGCAGTAAAATATTTTCTTTCCTGCCCAAGTGCCCCCAAAGCCTTGTAACACCACGATGGTTTCGGCTTTTCTATCTCACATCTCATCTGTGCCTGGCCAGCTCTGCCGCCGCTTCTCACTCTCCCTGTTTTTCTCCCTCAGGTCCCACACTGGGTGCTTTGAAACGAAGGGAATAAAAGAAAAGCTCAGATAAAAGACCAAAATGAGGAAACACCGGCATTTGCCCTTCGTGGCACTGTTTTGCCTCCTGTTCCCAGGCTTCTGCTCGGTTCGTGCCCAGCAGCAGGCAGGTAAGACCGGACTGCTCCTCCTCCTGACTTTGACTCTGTACAGATGAGCCACTAGCTCGCCCTGTTTGGTTTTTAACACGCATGTCGATGGTTATGTGGTGGATTGACGACCTTCTGCTCCGCAGCTCCCACCTCGCTGAGGGTCCCTCGGGACCCAGACCTTACCCGGGTGCCTCCCCGAGCATGTCGCTGGCCCGTGCCGTGCCTTGGAGGGTGCTCTGCGGGGGACTGGGCTGTGGGATGCGCACCCAGCGTGGCCCTCAGAGGGTTTTCGTGTGGGCAGAGCCGTTCTGCCCTCCTTGCATGTGTAGGATGGCTTTTAGCAGTGAGAAGAGCACTGGCCGCTGACCTGCAGGGAGGCTGCTTTAAGAGGAGGTGCCGGTGCCTTTGGGACCGGAGCTGGGTGTTAACAGCAGGAAAAATGTGGAAAACTCCTGCCAGCACCCAGGCTGCTTAAACCAAGGAGCCCTTCCTTTCCCTGAGAACCGCCACAGAGCCAGCAGGGCCCTGAGTCAGCAAAAAAAACGTGCAGGAGACTGAAATGGAACGAGCCTAAATTCACACGTGGAGCTGCCAGCGTCTTGGTCTGGCTCGGGGCTGGTGCCCAAACCTGTGAGGTGAGGGTCTGGGAGTGGGGAAGCACCTCGGCTCGCCCTCCCTGGGCAGGGTAGGGCGCATGCTGTCCCCTCCTGTCCCCCAGCACTGCGGTGTCAGGGCACTGACGGCTGCCTGGGTGTTCTGCAGCGCTTCTTGTTGTGCTGCGGGCGATGAGGGGAAGCTCCGCTTCACTGTCACCCTGCGGAACGGGCTGCCGGTTGTGTTAGGGCGAGGAGGCGTGCTTGTGCTGACCGTAGACAATCCTAAACCCCCCCCTCCCCCCCCATCTGTTTTTTTTTTAAAGCTGTCAGAACCGTTGCCGTGGCTGATATAATATTTCTAGTGGATTCCTCCTGGAGCGTTGGGAAGGAGCATTTCCAACTTGTCCGAGAGTTTCTGTATGATGTTGTAAAAGCTTTAGATGTGGGAGGAAGTGATTTTCGCTTTGCCCTGGTCCAGATCAGCGGAAACCCCCGCACAGAGTTCCAGTTAAACACCTACCCCTCCACCCGAGACGTCCTGTCCCACATTGCCAACATGCCTTACGCGGGGGGAGGCGCCGAGCCCGCTAAAGGATTAGAGTACCTAATCGAGAAGCACCTCACTAAAGCTGCTGGAAGCAGAGCCGGTGAAGGCGTGCCCCAGGTTATCATAGTGCTGACGGACGGCCGGCCCCAGGGCGGTGTGGCTCTGCCCTCAGCCGTCCCCAGATCGGCCCCTGTAAACGTGTTCGCGGTCGGCGTGCAGGAGGGGCAGCTAAAGGAGAGAGCGGGCACGCCACCCCTCGATGCGCACCGTTTCAACCTGGAGAATTTTACTGCTCTCCACGGCATAGTTGGGGACTTAGTGGCGAGCGTGCGCTCCTCCATGACTCCAGAAAAGGCTGGGGCCAAAGGACTGGTTAAAGACGTCACAGGTAATGGCTGGCTGGTGGCATCTGCTGGCACTGCGCTGTTTGGAGCCTCTGTAGGGGCGAGACTGAGATGGACGTTCAGGGGTTTAAAAACAAAGGTTTGAAGTGCGTGGCCCGGTGTTTGTGGCCACCGAGCGTGCCGTTGTTTGCAGACCGGACTGGTATCCCTGCTGGGAATTAGCTCAGGAGGGCAGCAAGCACGCCGTGCCTGTCCTCTGGCACACGTGGCGTGGAAATGCAAATGCAGGGGGCCCTGCGGAGTTTTTGCTCTGTGCTAGTCACTCCCAAGGCAGGGAAATAGGGCGTGAACACACCAGACCCGGTGGTGACTGACCGAAAATCCTCTGGAGGGTCACTCCAGCAGTAAGGTCACTGCTGATGGCAGGGACACCATGCAGGATGTCACCTCGCAGCTAGCGGGGGTGGGGAGACAGGCAAAGTGCCGCTCCAGGGAGTCACATTCTTGGCTGAAGACAGCAAAAGAAGTTGGGTGGAGAATTTCTCTGCTGAAAGCCCCACCCCTTAGCCCCTCTCCTCACGCACTTGGGAGAAGGTGTGTGGTTGGAGAGTCACGGGAATGCCTTCTCTACAAGCCGGTGGCTTCCACCTGCTGGAGTGCTGGACCCTTCCTACAACCAAAACCTCCCTCCAAGCCACGTTGGCTTCGATGGATCTGCGCTGACCGCAAGACAGGGGCCCAGTTTTCCCGGAAAGAAAATAAGACAGTCTCCCTCCGTCCCTCCTCTGTTTATGACATAAATTCCAGCATGGAGAGGGCCTTCTGAGCAGCTTTGTTGCGTTTCAAAACACAAGTCCTGGAGTTCAAACCTTTCTTTTTATTCCTGAGACTCCATCTGAAGGTCGATAGCTTGTGGGGTGACGTGAGGCAGCGGGAGTGTGATGAGGCAGCGTAGCATTAATCTCCCTGTGCTGTCTTGCCTATTAACCCTCACGCCAGCCCCGCTGGGTGCTCTCCATCTCTGCATGACACCCAGCAGCACCAAAAGGCCGTGCTCGTGTGTGTTTTTGTCTTGCAAAGCGCTTGGCAGGGCAACCATGCAGGCCACGTGAAAGCCATGGGGGAGCAGCTGCCCCAGAAAGATGGCAGAAGGCTCACTGATGCTGAGAAAATGATACCAATATACGTGGAAAACGGGTGTTACACCCAACCTGATGACAGCACTGCAGTGGCTGTTGAGCATCTTCGCCAGGAAGGACCCCAGTGATTCCTTCCTGAAATCAGTAGAGGAATTGGTCTGTGGCAACTGGCTGTCCTCTTCTGGGCCATGCCAGCAGGTGACCCCATAGCATGGAGGCACAGACATTTCTTTAAAAGCATTGGAGCCAAAATCCTACTCTGTGTATATCATGAATTCCCAAGTTTGTTTCTCCTCAAAGATATTTTTTGCAAGTATTTCCTTCCCATCCTGTAGCACAGATTTGAAAAATCCCACTGTTGTAGTTTTGCCCCTGTGTGACTTTCAAGGACAATACACAGAGTGTCCTTAAACATGGGAATAGTTGTTGTGGGTCCTAAACCTCGGATGACAGTAGATTGAAAAGCATAGTACAAAGAACGGTTGGCTTAAGAGTTCAAGGAGTAATTTATTGAGCTGATAAGTAGGACCATCAGCACCGAGTTTGCCCTGATGGATTTGTTCAGGCTGAGCTGTCTGTCTCATCTGACCTTCCTTGCTTAGTTGTGTAACCAGCACGCTTTTTACTTGTTCTCCACACCGGCTTGTTCCACAAATGTGCACTGAAGTACAAGGTTTGTTTTTTTTTTTTTACAGTGATGACAAATTATCCAACGCATCTGTTTCAGATCTGTTTTCTCTCTGGTGGGAGCGGCCCGAGCTGGTGTGATGGCACCCATTAGTGGCTGAAATCTTGCTCCTCGAAAGAGATAAGCAGCCCTGGGCACAACCAGCTCGAGATTTCCCTTTCATTTGTTTGATGAAGTAGAAGGTGTACATCCCAACTGAAAATGGCACGGGAAGGACAGCCCTAAGCACCCCTAAATTTTGTCTCCGAGGAGAAGTAAATCCTGTAGCTCTTTGCTGAACCCTGCTGAAGTTCTCCAAACCAGCACTGGATGTTGAGTTGGCCCAGGGGAGTGATGGTGACCTGGAGACCTTGTTGCTGGAATTGCAGCATTATTTGAATCTCCAGAGGGCATTGCAGTAAATGAAAACATTTACAGAGGAGCAATCTAACAGGCAGTAAATAAACAAATTGGCACTGCTGGTTAATAGCAGAGACCTTAAGTTTATTCCTGGCCTTGCCAAACTACCTGTCAGTTTTTCTACCGGTTTCACCTTCAGCTTTCAAAAGTTGAGAGCTGATTGATATTTCTAAATGCTGCTTGCCATTCATTTGCAAGTAGTCTGAAATTTGAGTTCTTCACAAGATTGGAGATCAATAGCATGGAAATACCCAAGCATGCTTGGGGTATTTGCTTTATTTTTTCCAAGCACAGAGCTCTTGGTGGGGTTGGTGGTAAAATTAGTTGAGCAAGAGGAGTAAGAGCAGGCACCAGGGCATTTTGGGTCTGCTTTGGTAAGTCTCACAACAGAAATGCTCCCCCTCAACCCCGTGTTCATGCCATATACAAACATATACAATGTTTGGTGTGTGTATATTCTCAAGCAAATGCTTGTGATTATCTGGTCACAACAAATAGAGTTGGATAATTGTGTCATGACTGATTTCATCACCCTTTCTTAACCTGATTCTGCATTCTTTGATTGAATATCCAGAGTCCATAGAAAAAATACAGACCAGACCCCTCTAGCAATAACCAGCCCGTCCTTGTGCATAATATTTAAAGTGGGACAATTTTTGCATGGCCTGGGTTGAGAATTGTGTGGGTCCACTTTGCTGGACAAGTTGGATGCTGGCAGCTGGTCAAAGAGTTACAGTGCAAGAAAAAAACCTTTTCAATTGTTTCTAACAAATGCATTTCAAATAATAGTCCTTCATGGTGGGGGAAGCCAGTATATTCAGCCCCTGTGTTTAAGCAGAAGACAGCAGGATTGTGACAGAGAGGCTGAAACGTTCCATACATGCAGCAAATGCTGGCTTTTTACCTTCCAAAAAATGAGAGACTGCAATGATAAAACCCCCCAGGGAATATTACTGTCCTCACCTGCCAGCTTCGGTGTGAATTGCCACCAAAATCCACCTTTTTCATGTGGCTCTGTCTAAACATTTGGGCAGTGCTGGTGGAATGGATCTCGGTTTCCCAGGTTTTTTATTTTGCTGAGTTTTCTCTCTCCTTGTGTGCCGGTACTGCTGACCCCTGTGCAAATACAGCCACCGGCTCAGGTTGTGTCCACTCGAGCCCTCTCCTGATGGGTCGTGGGTGCTGCTGGGAAGGGGCTGGGAGTTCATATTCAATCAGAATGCAGAACTAAGAGGCAAAACGTCACCTCCTCAGTGATCACGTGTTTTGTTTTCTCGTTTTTGTGTTTCTTACTGGTTTTCCAAGAAACATGTCAGAACACTGTACGACCGCATGTAATCACCCATTTTAATGCTTTCACCTTTTGCATTTCTGTTTTTTTAAAGCTCAAGAGTCCGCTGACCTTATTTTCCTTATTGATGGATCAAACAACATCGGAAGTGTCAATTTCCAAGCCATACGCGATTTCCTTGTAAATTTGATTGAAAGCCTCAGAGTTGGAGCTCAGCAGATACGCGTTGGGGTGGTGCAGTATAGTGACCAACCCAGAGCAGAGTTCGCTTTGAGCAGCTACTCCACAAAAGCGGATGTCCTGGATGCCGTGAAGGCTCTCGGCTTCCGCGGTGGCGAGGAGGCGAACACCGGTGCAGCACTGGAGTTTGTGGTGGAGAACCTCTTCACCCAGGCGGGAGGCAGCAGGATAGAGGAAGCGGTGCCTCAGATTTTAGTGCTGATAAGTGGTGGAGAGTCTAGTGATGATATCCGAGAGGGCTTGTTAGCGGTGAAGCAAGCTGGTGTGTTTTCGTTTAGCATTGGGGTCCTGAATGCTGACAGTGCAGAGCTGCAGCAGATTGCTACTGATGGAAGCTTCGCATATACTGCCCTGGATATCCGTAACCTCGATGCTCTTCGAGAATTATTACTGCCCAACATTGTTGGAGTGGCCCAAAGGCTCATTTTGTTAGCGGCCCCAACCATTGTGACCGAAGGTATGTATGTCTTTCTAGACCCTTGCCTTTCCGTGAATCGATGAATGAATGAGCTTTTGCACACTTGACAAACTCTTTAATTTAGCTCTTTAATTATCTAAAGAAAATTTTTTTTTTTTTCAATTCACCTCTCTGGTCTGGTTATGGACAAAGACAAATAGTCCTGTGGCTGATGTGCAGAAACTCGTTGGACCAGTGGGTTATCTTTCAAAAACCATGAGGTTTTGTTGCACTGAATCACGTGAAATGGTGTTTTAAAGGACAGAAGCAGAGTATAAAAAAAAGAGTATTAAAAGGCTCATGTATAATCCTTTTTGGGGTATCTAAGCAGCACTGTCAGCTGTAAAGCATTTATGTCACGTAAGCTTACATTATACGTCAGTTGAAAGTGTCATGAGCATAAAAGGTGACTGGGGAAGTTAATGGATCCCTATTTACCAGAGTTGAAGTGCCCAGCTTGCTAAAACAGTAAAATTCCATACCTCGTGGAAGCTGGGGGCTGTCCTTGGGAAAAGGGTGACGCTCCTGTGGTGTTAACTTGGTTAAAAGGCAAGCAAGCCCTTGGTGCTTCTGAAGTGAAATCTCTACCCGGCTAACGTGCATTTCCCTTTGGTCTGTTAGCTGAGAAAGTTTACAGCTTCCCACGAGGCCATGGGGCATCAAAATCCAGGTGTCAACGTTCCACTTAGGTCACTTTGTCACCCTTAAGCCCCACTGACTGTTTCTGGACTAGCATTATTTTGGGGTTCAGCAGATCTGGATTTACAGAGCAAGCAGGTGATTACGAGTTTCTCACCTTCTGGGTTTAGGACTAATTTAAATCCACCGATGGAGAGGTTTTATGAAAGACACAATATGTCATGTTTCAGAGGCCCCTGGAAAGGGCCAGGCTGGAGTTGCTGCACTTCATTAACAGGATGCTTAATGCAAACAGCACTTTTGGGATCCCACTGCCAGTCTGGAGTTCTGTACACACTGTTCCTCATGATGTATGTTGACATATAAAACTGCATTCCAGATGTCTTCACTGATCTGTGTCTAAACATGATTGCTGTCCTGTGGCTCAAATCAAAGGGAGGAATTTGCCTGAAAGATCATTTTATGACCTTGCCTTGATTATTCCAGGAAAGAACATAAAGAGCTTTTCCTTGTAGCATCCTCCAAGCACCATATTTAGCTCAGGAAGATGAAGTCAGTGTGTCTGGTTAAAATGTGCATGCTAGGACCCCTGCAAGTCAATGGAAGACTTCTCTTTCCTCCCCTCTGATTTTTAACAGTTTGCATGGCAAGACTGAAAATGTGGGTGCCTTTGGTTTCATCTTCAGTTGCCTGTTTCTCACTGAGAATGCCCGCTCATCCGTGGAAGGTACCACAGCAGCACTGGCCTGTGCAATTACATGCAGGTGGATATGCTAAATGGAGAAGTGGCTATTTTCAAAGGAGCTTTAGGGAATTTCCTATCCCTAGCACCCATGGAAATCAATTCTGACTGCTCTGCTTGGTTTGCATCAGCATCTTGGAAGCCTGGAGTGTAAAACACTGGTTTGGGAGACACACCACAGCCTGAAGTGGGTGCCAAAGCCATTGGGGTGCCATGTGTTCCTGTGAAATACTGAAGTCACCTCACTTCACTTCAGCTCTCTGGCTGTACACTCATCCTCCTGGGATGAATGGATATCTCAAAGTGACTTTCTGCCTCTCTTCTCCTCTGTCCTTCAAGTACTGGGGGAGCCTGGATGATTAAATTAGATGAGGTGCTTCACCAAAGGTAGCTGGGATGGCAGTGAGGAGGGAACTTTGATGCTGACACCCTCTTAACGTTCCCAACTTTTGGAGTCAAAGATGCAATGCTTTGATCCCAAACTCTTTGAAATTCTTGGGAGGCTTGCCATCAGCTGTACAGGGCTTTGGATTAAACACTAGGAGATGTGTACAGCCTTGCTTAAAGTCTTTTGCTCCAATTGTATCCACTGACATTAGCATCATGTGTTGTTTCTTCCTCTGGGTTTTGGTTTTGGTTCTTGCATTCCTCTAGGGAATCACAGTGCAGGATTTGAGAGCTGCAAGAGGAATGAGCAGTGGAGGGAGCTCTTCCTTTCTGGCCTCCCTCATCTTTCTAAAGCCCCTTTGATGTTTTTTCCCCAAACCTCTATATAAAGTCAAAAGTTTCCAGGGTCTCCATTTTTGGGTTTCTAGCTGCTGACAAGCTAAGGACATGCTTTGGGCTCTCTTCTGGGTGATGCAAAAAGCAGGGATTTCAACCCTTGTTATCAATTTGAGAAGTTTTCCTGTTTCCAGCCCTCTCCTCCTTGGAGTAACTGCTGAGATAAAAAGCCAGGCTGGAGGGGTGAATGCTGGAACGGGATCACTGAAACAAATGCTCGTTGCTTTGTTGCATAGCTCAGTTCTGACAGCCTGGGCAGCCAAAAGCAGCTCACAGACAACTCACATTGCGGCCCTGGCCTCGGGGAGGGCACCACCAAATACACTTGGGGCACGTTCTCGTCGCTCCGTGTCCGAGAGCACCGCGGGGGGGCAATTTCAAACCTCTTTTTTTTTTTTTTACAATTGACAAATGAAACTGTTTGCAGCACAAATCTGGGAGAGGCTTTTGCAAAGGCTGGGGCTCACTGGTGGAGACAGGCCTGAGGGCAGAGGGGCAGCTCAATCCACAGGTATCATCCCAGCTCTAAATCACTCCCTGGGCTAGCCCGGCCTCAGGCTGAGGAACCCGACAGCCACCAGCCTTTGGGAGCACTGCTATCCGTGGCCAGCTGGTGTCTGGCCAGGGAGGACTGCAGCCAAAGCTTTGTTCTTTGCTGAAATCCAAAGTAAACAGCCCGCAGGCAGAGGAGCCCCGAGGGGCTGCCCTTCTGCATCCAGGCAGGGCGAGGCAGTGTTTGCTACCGCTCGCCCTGAGAGCTGTGAGATCCCAAACGTGCCAGGGCCCCTCTTCCCCCAGGCCCTGTGCTGGGCATAGCAGCGAGCCTGGGAGCTGGTGGGCCTGCCTCCTTGAATATTGACTCCGTCTCAGGAGCTCTTAGGTGGGCAGGGGATTTAAGGACGCCCCAAGTCCAAAGCACAGTGAACCACAGTGCTCAGCATAACTGGGAAGCAGCACAGGGTTTCCTCTTTAACATCAGTGGCATGAAATCAGGGGCACGATGATGTGAGTGAGGTCATCTAAAAGATGGTTTTAAGATTAGGCCCAGTGATGATCATATAGAAAACTGTTATCATAATGGTATTGGTCTTGTTAATATTTACCTTTTAAAAAATATCATTGCTGTTTTAAATATGATGGTACTTTGGTTCTAATGCTGCACAACAGGACTTTTTTCCTTCCTAACTATCCTTCTTCAAACTTAGCCAGGGCACTGGAATGCTCTCCCATGATTGGGCTAACTGTGCCAAGAAAAATCCTAACATGTTTTTGTTAGATAAGGAATAAAATGTAGGATTTGAAGACCCAAAATCAGGTATGTCGAGTAAGTGGAGACTGTTCTTTACTTGTGTCACTGGTCTTGGGAACTAATCCTTCTGAGAGGCTCAAGCACGATTCAGACGGTTTCACTGCAGATAGAGGGAGCATCACCTGCTTATTTCATCTGCTGTGCCAGCTGAGTGCCAAGATTTCTCCTCACTGTTTGACTTTCATTCTTTGCTTTGACAGGTACAGACAGTCTAATGTTAAAGCTTGTTAACAACACCATTTTTGCCACTCTGCAACTCTTCTGCGTTTCAGAAAGGGGAAACATTCAGATTTACTATTAGCCTTCTGGTAGAACCTGAAAAGCAGTTCTGTTTTGAAAGCAAGAGCCTTTTAAAGGTGTTGAGATTAACAGTACTTCAGGCAAACACGTAGTTTCTAAACATTGCTGAACTGTTGATATAGAAACGATGCGGAATGTGCCGAAGGCTTCTGCTAACGTGGTGTTCATGTGTTACTTGCAGTTATTGAAGTGAACAAGAAGGACATAGTCTTCCTGATAGATGGCTCAACCGCCCTGGGGGCCGCCCCCTTTAACTCAATCCGTGATTTCGTTGCCAAAATTGTCCAGAGGCTGGAGGTGGGGCCTGACCTGATCCAGGTGGCGGTGGCGCAGTACGCGGACACGGTGAAGCCGGAGTTCTACTTTAACACCCACCAGACCAGAAAGGACGTGATGACCAACGTGAGGAGGATGAAGCTCATGGGGGGCACGGCGCTCAACACGGGCTCCGCCCTGGACTTTGTGAGGAGCAACTTCTTCACCAGCGCCGCCGGGTGCAGGGTGGAGGAGGGGGTGCTGCCCATGGTGGTGCTCATCACCGGGGGTAAGTCCATGGATGCTGTGGACCAGGCTGCGGCAGAGATGAAAAGGAACCGGATAGTGACCCTGGCGGTGGGGTCAAGGAACGCCGACCTGGCGGAGCTCCAGGAGATCGCCCACGAGAGAGATTTTGTGTTCAACCCAGAGGACTTCCGCCTGCAGTTCATGCAAGCCATTCTACCTCAGGTGCTGTCGCCCATCCGGACGCTCTCAGGAGGGCTGATTGTCCAAGAACCACCCTCAGGTAATTAATTACCCTTTTCTGATTAATACAGTTTATATATTTGTCAGCCCTTATTTCTGTGCCATGTGGAGATAGTGGGGGGGGAGAAAAGCACCAAACAGATGTTCCAGCGTGGTTAAATGTTGTCTCTTGGTTCAGTAAGTGCATGAACAGGTTGGTGTTACAGCTTTATCACCCCTTCCTGAAGGTTTTTGTCCTGTTCCATATTTGTCACCAGGGCCTGGATGTGGAAGATGGGTTTTACTAGTTAGGTACCAAAATTGTTCAAAACATTGTTTTCCCTCCCTTAGGGTTTGTGTAACCTGTTAATGGGGCACACGGGGAATGTTAAAGTCTCTTCCTCAGTTTGAGAATCACTGGTGGTGGGTACTTGCTCAGGAACACAGACGTTTCTTTGGGGTGTGAAGAACATAAACCCATTTGTTCATGGAGATGTCCAGAGAAAGCTACCCTGACCCTGTTGGACTGAGACTCACCCTTTAAGAACGTATTTACAGTTTCCTCATAATTTATTAAGCTCAAACCCTAAGAGGGGTAACTGAGAATACTGCAGTGTTGTTTTTAATTTAGTCTGTTTAGAAGATGATCCAGAGCCCCATGTGGATTCTTTTTAGTTGGTCTTGCCATTGACACCAGTAGACTTTGGAAGCAACCCAGCTGCCAGGGTTGTGGCTTTTGAGGGAGTCTCCCCTGCACTTCAGGACATGTTCTGGGTGCACAGAGATTTTATACCAGATTTCTCAGGATTTCTTCCCCACAGAGATGCCTGAGGTTGAATCCACGTTGTGCTAGATCAGATTTGAACCTTGCATTTCCATCTCATGGCATTAAAAAAACCAGGACTTCTTCCAGCCCCCAGAAAGGTCAATAGTGAAGTTCCCATCGGCTTAAGTGGCTGTTAAACCATGTCCGTATTTTTTCTACTTTATAAAGTAATTTAAAATTATAAACCAAGTGCAAAAGAAAGAGAATGTTTGGAAAGAACCCATAAAGAATTAAAGCCTGTAGCTGATCTACATGCAGAGCAGACATTCTGAGGTCAGTTTACCAATACTTGTCCTTAATTAGGATGAATATCACAGGACTTATCATTTAATAAGCTTTGTTTCAGAGCGTGTTTCCTGCTAATACAGTTTTGCATGGCTATACACCAGATCTCGCATTTTTATTTTTCAGTGTAAATTCAAAATGTTCCTGTATTTCCCTGTTTAAAGCTCATTTGAGCAGCTTCTTCTTTTTTCCAGTCTTTTTGTTTTACTGTACTCGCAGCAATTCCCATACATAATAAGCAAGGGATCAGATCCTACTCCTTTAAATTATTAGTAGCGGTAACAAAACTGATTTTGACACTGGGCATTCCATTTTAGCTGGATATCGCCTCACCCTGGGCCTTGAATGGGATTTTCTGGGAAAAAATTAAAAATACAGGAAGCCAAGACAATCTGTAAAATCTGAGAACAGTTCCTATATCCCAAACAGTCCTTTTTTCCCCCTTTTGTTTTCAATATCTCAGTATTTGTATATTTTATATATGGGACAGCATGCTTTCGGGGACAAGGCAGGCTAGAGGGATGGATGAATGTAGCCATAAATACTCTAAACAGAAAAACAGTGGGCAGAATTAGCAATGGGCATAAATAAATTTTGAATAACTCTTTGGAGGAAGGCATCCAGGAGAGATGAGTTAGATGAGTTATCAGTTCTCTGAGACCTCATTTAAAATCTTGGCATTTTGGTCTGTGATCTGGACATGATGTGTTTAGAGCAAAAAATAAAACAACACAGGGTGATAGTCCTGTGGTTTCTTGGGCTGTAGGTCTGTGTGCTGGGGCACAGATGTTGGGGATGCAGCCCAGGAAGGGCTTAACCTTAAAAAGGAACCGAGAACTGGCTGGTTACTGCCCAAAGTGGGAAATTTCTCCTCCTTCACCAGCCTCCAAAATGGATGTCTGTAGCTGCAAACATTAAAGCGATTAAAGAGAGTGATATCATTCCCTAAAGCTTTGCTGGGAAGGCCCAGGTCAGTGTGTGGTGACTTGCAGATGAGCAGGGTGTCTGTCTGTAGGCATAATTCGGTGTCGCTTCACCAAAATGAACCAAACTGCTTTGTGCCCGTTAAGGACCCGCCCCAGAGCCCACAGCTCTGGCATCAGCAGCCGTTGGGAACATCTGCCACGGGAGAGGCTCTTGATAAGCCTGGCACTGAGATGAGTTTTCAGTAGGAGTCAGAATCCTTCCCTGCCCAGTTCAGGCATTTCCACCAAGGTCCTCGTTACCTCTGTGCTGATCACACCCTCGCTCTCCTCTCTCTCTCTCTCTCTGTCTCTCCTAACAAGGCCTCCATGCGTGTACGGCATATGCTGCATGCACACATGAGAAAGATACGTCCGTTTTTGTTTGCTGTGATGTCTCACGTTGTTTTCTGTGCTCTACCGCAGTTCAAGTAACCAAAAGGGATATCGTCTTTCTTTTGGACGGATCACTCAACGTCGGAAGTGCCAACTTCCCCTTTGTGCGGGACTTTGTCGCCACCCTAGTTAACGACCTTGATGTCGGCAGTGACAAAATCCGGGTTGGCTTAGTGCAATTTAGCGACACCCCCCAGACCGAGTTTTCCCTGTCCTCCCACCCAACCAAAGCAGACATAATCCAGCGCCTGGGGCAGCTGAGGCCCAAGGGGGGGTCGGTGCTGAACGCTGGCTCCGCACTGAACTTCGTGCTCTCGAACCACTTCACGGAGGCCGGTGGGAGCAGGATAAATGAACAAGTGCCGCAGGTCCTAGTGCTGGTGGCGGCAGGGAGGTCTGCAGACCCCTTCTTGCAAGTTTCCAATGAATTAGCTCGAGCCGGAGTGCTGACCTTTGCTGTTGGCGTTAGGAGTGCGGATAAGGCAGAGCTTGAACAGATTGCCTTTAATCCAAGAATGGTGTATTTTGTGGATGATTTCAGTGCTCTGGCAGCTTTGCCCCAGGAATTAAGTAGACCTATAACAACCTATGTTAGTGGAGGTGTGGAAGAGGTTCCACTCGCCCCAACAGGTAATACCTATCTTCCTTCATGTTGACTGCATTAAGTTGATCTTGTTTAAGTTGATTTCTCCTTTCCAGTGCACACTTTGGCATCTGTCTAAGCCCTGAGTCATCAAAGTGGTTATGGCTGTGCTGAACTAGGTGATCTTTAAGGTCCCTCCCATCCTAAACCGTTCTATGAGTCTGTGAATACATGGCTTGCCACTGGCAGCCCTTCATTTTGTTTAAGTCACTGGGAGCGTGCTTTAGAAGCCACAGTTTTAAGCTTTTTGGTAGGTCAGGACCAAAAGAGGATTGGTGTGAGTCTATGCCCACCAGTCACTGCCTCGGGTGTTCCCTTTTTTGTTGCCATGATGGTGACACAACCTGTAAATGCATTACATGCACTAAATCAGGCAATGGGAGCGTGAGCTTTTGGCCACGAGGACTGGTGTGGAAAGGTTAAAGTCACCCCAGAGAGCACAGAGGAGCGGAGGCCTAGCCAGGCACAGAAGGCCAAATCCATTCCCAGAACCACTTGGTCAAAGTGATGTTACCAGGCTGTCACAGAGGCTGGATTTGACTCCCCGATATTATCCTCCAGCATTAAATCCAAAAGCTGTAGGCGGGTTTAACCCTTTTTAAACAGGTGTTTTCTCACTGATTCCATTATTGTGGCTATGTGCTTATGAGGACATGGGAACAACCAGGATTGGTTAGTATGGAAAGGCCATCAAGATTATTGTGAAAGATGTTAAGACAGGCACGAGATGCTTGGGTTTATCTTGGGAATTCAATGAGATTAAAAGGGCATCAAATGGAAACAGGTGAAAGGCTTTTTCTCCTTCCAAAGTCATAACTTGCCTCTGGGTTTAGATGTTCCTTGTGATGCAAATGGCAGAAGATACAGAAAATGCTTTGTGTATGTGTGTATGAACTAATCTCTCTTTGTCTTCTACTGAGCCTTTAAATAGAAAAAAGACCCCAACACTGCTGTTCTACTTCATGCTTGTGTTATTGACGTATTGCTAGACCTTAAACATCACTGAATCAGCCAATTTATGTCATGATCTGGGGTGATGCAATATGTGGTATGTCTGTCTGGTGCATGAATTTATTGGGTCTTAGGATAGAGGTGTTCTTGCTTCCCTTTCTTCCTCAGATAAATAAGTCAAAGGGGCTGTTTAATCCTGTAGACTTGGAATGCTTTGGTAAATGGGACTACTGAAAGGCTGAAACCCAGCTGACCCGTAGAGAAGTTTTCTAGGATGATGTGTAAGGAGAAAAAAAAAAACAAAAAACAACGCCTTCATATCTCTTTCCCCCCTCTCTTTTCATTTGTGAATTTGTTCTAGAAAGCAAGAAAGACATTTTATTCCTGATCGATGGCTCAGCCAACCTCTTGGGCAGCTTTCCTGCCGTCCGGGACTTTGTGCACAAAGTGATTTCTGAGCTGAGCGTGGGAGCCGACGCCACGCGCGTGGCGGTGGCTCAGTTCAGCGACACCGTCCAAGTCGAGTTTGACTTCGCCGAGTACACGTCCAAGCAAGACATGCTCCTCAAGGTAAAGAGGATGAAGATCAAAACCGGGAAGCAGCTGAACATCGGAGCTGCGCTCGACGAAGCCATAAGGAGGCTGTTCGTCAAGGAGGCCGGGAGCAGGATCGAGGAAGGGGTTCCCCAGTTTTTGGTCCTCCTCGCTGCCGGGAGGTCGAGCGACGATGTGGAGGAGCCATCAGACGTTCTGAAGCAAGCTGGAGTTGTGACCTTTGCTATCAAAGCCAAGAACGCCGACCTCGCAGAGCTGGAGAGGATCGTTTACGCCCCGCAGTTCATCGTGAACGTCGAATCCCTCCCTCGGATTTCGGAGTACCAGCCAGACATAGTCAACCTGTTGAAAACTGTCCAGCTTCAGCCAACAGGTACAGGGAGCCCTGGGGTTTCCAAGAGGCTGAAAGAAATTACTTTAAGTGCCTCATCTCAGTTGGCAACTGAGGCATTTGGGTCTGGTGGCGTTTAAAACAGTTACAAGTAGAAACTGGCGTTGCGCTTAGATTTTCCTCTCCTCAGACCCCGATGCAGCAAAGTATTAAGGTTCAAGCTGAATTTTAAAGATAAGTAAGGAAAAGACCTTTTCATCAGCTGGATGAGCTGCAGTTGGTGCCGTTCCATGGGTACAAACCTGAAATAAGAAGGAGCCATTGCCCCAGAGACAGTGCATTAATTGATGTGCAGTGCTGGGCAAGGGCTAGAAGAAGCAGATACAGGCTCGTCTCAATTTCTTTTTCCATCCTCCCTCTTCTGGAGGACTGGTAGGGAGTAGGGAGCACTGCAGAGCACTGGATTCACTCTTGCTCTGTTGCTTCCTACAGGATATGATGGCAGTTTCTGGGTTTTGTTCCTATGCACCAATAAACTAAATGCTCTCGACTCTCTTGTGATCGGAGCTCAGTAGATGAGATGGATTAATTGAAGAGTATTAAAAAAAAGAATCACAAAGAGGATCACACTGCCACCATTATAAATTCACTCTGTGGTACTGGAAATTATGAAAGTCCAGCTGTGTGATTTCCTGAGGCAGCCCTAATTTGAGCATTACCTCATCTCCGAACAGGAGGTGGAGACAAGGAAAAGAGCAGCAACATCCACGTCATCTCTCCATAAAAGTCCTGGGCAGATGGACTTAGAATCATAGAAACATAAAAAAGGAATAGGGCTGGAAGGAACCTCAGGGTGCCATCTGCTACGTGCCCTTGTCCCCAACAGGGTCTTCTTGTCCAGAACCAGCTGGCATGGGTCTAATCTGTTCTGGAAACCCTCTGGTGGAGATTTCCCAGCCTCCATAATCAATCTGTTCGAACCCTTTGATCTGTATCAGTAAACATTTTCCCTTAATGTCCAACTTCTGCCTCCTTAGTGACACTCTAAGCCTTTTACATCTCCTTCAACTCCAGAAGGATGCAGATGTCAACTCGCTCCCATGTTTTGTGTACTGTGCTCGTCTCTGTCCTCATGTCACCAGCTCTGTGCCCAGCTCATTCAAATGAGTCTTTACTGGTAGGCTTTGTAGATCATCGTCTGCATTTTCACCCTATCCTCTCCAGCATCAGTCTGCTCCAAATGACCTGAGTGTAGCAGTGGCATCCCCTGATTATCTCTTACCCCACCTTTTCCATGTGGATTCATTACCCTTCCCGTACTTGTGCAGCTTCTGCCCCAACAAAAACTTGTGCAACTAGTGCTCTTGAATTCCATCCTCCCTTTTCAAACCATTTGTGTCATGTCAAGATCATTTTAAATTCCTTGGACCACCAAGTACTATGGACAACTGTGCTATTAGCTCACTGATAGCTGCATCTACCCACTTTTCCTTTTGTTCTTGGCTAAAAGAGAGGCAATTCCTTAGAAAATCCGTAATTTTTTCTTCTTTATCCACTACCCAGAGACTTTTAATAAGACTTTTTCCCTGCTCTTGTATTTTAGAGGAAGTATATGAAATTGGGACACATCAGGCAATGTCTGCTCCCTCTTCCCACCTATGTCAATGTTCTGGTCCTGTGGTTTAATCCACCAGGTTTCCAACAGTCCTCTAAAGTAATAAATTTCTTCTGAAGTCTGCATTAAGAATTCAACTGCCCTTGTTATGTCTTTAGATTTCTAGCATTCACAAGCAGATATTTAAGATTTTCTTCAGAGGGACAGATCATGTTCCTGCCAAGAGACTTTTGGGAATGCTGTCCAGCAGTTGGTGTGTTTGAGAGCCAGGGATGTTTTCTGCTTGGTTAAGCCAAAGCTTTTCAATTTTCTGCTGATCAGTCACAGAATCCGTCAGCAATTCTCTGATCTTTGACAATTCATGTTCTTGGAGGTTTTTCCTTTTTTCTTTTTTTTTTTTTTTTTTTTTTTAATAGAGAATGTTTGGTCACAATTAACTATTTTTTTTCCCTGCCTGAAAATAGTAAAAAAACCCAAACAAACAAAAACAACAAGCCCCCTCCCCTGCAGTATCTAACATTTTAGAAGATCATTTCAGCATTTTCAGCTGGATGTCCTTTCAGTAATTTCTTATTTTTATTCTGGGCACTTGCAGAAGTATTTGTTTCTAAGTTCAGTGATACCTCAGAAAAGCTCTTCTGTCCCTCTCTTCACCATCTCTCCGTGAGCACTCCCTGCAATATGCCATTTCATCCTGACATTTTCAGTGTTTCCCGGGAGCAGAATATTCCTGATGCCCCAGACTCCACCTGCATACTGCAAAGCCAGTGCCAGCTTCCCAGTTCCCTGGGAAGAAGCAGGTGGCTTCTCCCAGCCTCAGGTAGGAGATGGCACCTGGAATACCCTGACATCCTCTTTCCTATGGATCTGTGATTCTATGACCCGGTGGGTAAGGCGTGGCATCCGCTGCACTGTGGCTTCCACCCATCTGCCTCTTCACCAGGGATTGCATCCGATGGCAGAGGAGCTGAACCACTTGTCCTGACACCTCGCTTTCCCCTCCCCGGGCTTTTGCGCTCCTTTGGAGAGTATTAACCGCTGCGAAACAGCATCTCACCTGTTCCCCCCCTTCCCTTGCTTGTCTCAAACAGTAGTTGAGAGAGGTGAGAAGAAGGATGTGGTGTTTCTGATCGATGGCTCGGATGGTGTCAGAAGAGGCTTCCCCTTGCTGAAGACGTTTGTCCAGAGAGTCGTGGAAAGCCTGGACGTCGGCCGGGACAAGGTCCGCGTGGCTGTCGTGCAGTACAGCAACATCATACAGCCCGAGTTCTTACTGGACACCCACGAGGACAAAGCAGATCTCATCAGTGCCATCCAGGAGCTGAAGGTCATGGGAGGGTCTCCTCTGAACACTGGGGCAGCCCTCGACTATCTCATCAGGAATGTGTTCACGGTGTCGAGCGGCAGCAGGATAGCGGAGGGCGTCCCACAGTTCCTGATCCTGCTGACTGCTGACCGCTCCCAGGACGACGTGAGGAGGCCCTCAGTGGTCCTGAAGACGAGTGGCACGGTGCCCTTCGGCATTGGGATTGGAAACGCTGACCTCACAGAACTGCAGACCATTTCCTTCCTGCCGGATTTTGCGATCTCGGTGCCCGACTTCAGCCAGCTGGATTCGGTGCAGCAGGTCGTCTCAAACAGAGTCATCCGGCTGACCAAGAAAGAGATAGAGTCGCTTGCCCCCGACCTGGTTTTTACATCTCCCAGCCCAGGTGAGAAGATGTTTGTGTCTGCACCGAGAGCCAGCGGCAAAATATGATGTTTAGTAACATCATGGTTGCAACACAAACCGAGAAAAGCAGAGATGGTCACGGCTAAGACCCCAGGTCAATCTTGGTCTCACTGTTGGTGCACTGCTCAGGGTTGGTAGGAGCTGTGTCGTTAAGCTGAGCCACCTTTAAGCCCAGTCTCCCAAGGTGGTCCATGCTGTATCCACACGGAAGACCCAAGAAGTGAATGCTATTTCCTTAACCTTATTTTAAGTGGATGGATTTTAAGTCCATGCTGTTCCTTCTGGAATGGAAATTGCATCATTTAGATGCAACAGGAACACCATCACACTACTGTAAATCAAGGTCAGCTCTCTGCTAAATGTGAGACTTGCTGATTTTTCTTATATTTGCCACCCTCATTCACCAGGGGAAGGGGAATTTGAAGTGGTCATCGGGAAAAGGATCAGATCTTCCATTTCTGGTCTCACTCGGAATGAAATATAGCCAGTGCATGCCTGAGATGAAGAATACCCCAGATCAGTCCCTTAGCAGTTCACTGTCCTGCTCTCTGTCTGTTCCTTCCCTTCTGAGCCAGACCACTTTCCTCCATCCCCATTTATCAGGGAGATGTACTGCAATAATTCGAGCTCTGTCCCGAATTACCACTGCAGAAAACACCTAATTAGGAACCAAAAAGCCATCCTGGAAAGGCAGAAGCTGAGAGAATAATAAGATAGAAACTTTCCTAGAGGACAAACCCGAAGAAAGAGGGGTGGTTCTGAGTGTAAAACCATCCCGGGCTGCCTAGCAACCTGCCCTGAGTAAGGACTGTCACCAGGACGTGTTTCCTTGGGTGGGCGTCCCACAAGGAATTATTTTTCCAGGTGTCCCCTGCTCCCTCTTGCTTCCTTTGCTCTGGAAGTTGCTGTTCTTGCACCCTCTGGGAGATGTGCCTAGCAGACTGGTCCTGTCTCGGTGTGCTGCCTGCTGGGGCTCCCAGGAGATAATCACGGGCAAGGAGGCAAGGAGCATCCTCCCCAGGGCCAGAGGCAGTGGTGTAGATGATGAGCTTAGCTGCTCTCCATGGGCAGTGCTGGGTGCCCCCTCTGACCGCTACCTTCTCTCCCGCAGCGGGCGTGAAGAGGGACGTTGTGTTCTTGGTCGACGGCTCCCGCCACGCCGCCCAGGAGTTCTACCTCGTGCGCCAGCTCATCGGGAGCATAGTGAGCAACCTGGACGTGGGCATCGACACCACCAGGATCTCGGTGGTGCAGTTCAGCGAGCACCCCCACGTGGAGTTCCTGCTCAACACCCACTCCACCAAGGACGAGGTGCAGAGCGCCGTGAGGCAGCTGCGGTCGAAGGGCGGCCAGCAGGTGAACCTGGGGGAGGCCCTGGAGTTCGTGGCGAAGACCATCTTCACCCGGCCCTCGGGGAGCCGCATAGAGGAGGGCGTCCCTCAGTTCCTCATCATCCTCTCCTCCCGCAAGTCCGACGACGACTTCGAGTCCCCGTCGCTCCAGGTCAAGCAGGTGGGGGTGGCACCCATGATGGTAGCGAAGAACGTGGACACCGAGGAGATGGTGCAGATTTCCCTGAGTCCCGATTACGTATTCCAAGTCTCCAGCTTCCAGGAGCTGCCCAGCCTCGACCAGAAGCTGCTGACTCCCATTGAAACCCTGACGGTGGACCAGATCAGGCAGCTGCTGGGAGATGTGCAGCCCCCCATAGGTAAGGTGCTGTCAGGACTGGCTGGTCTCTGAGTTGCTACTCAAGTAAATGTTGCCCCAAAAAAACTTCCCTTAAGTTGAAGTTTTCCTTAGATAAAAGCAAATGTGCAGCACGTGTACAGTCGTGGAAGGAAACTTTCAAATAGGTGGAAATTCTACCCAACCCCCTAAAATACATCATAACTTATAATTTTCAAGTCAATACATTGCCTATTTAGGTTTTCAGTTCAGATTCTGCAATGTGTACGGTTGTCTGTTCCTGTCTAGCAGCTCTCTAGGAAACAGACATAAAGATGGAAACATTGACAAATCCAGGTAAGAGCATTAATGAACAGAACAGATGAGGTTCTAAGTGAGGCATGCTTCAAACATCAGGCAGACCGTTGGCACACACATGCCCACCTGCACACAAGCCCTTTTGGAGAGGCCCCCCAGAACACCGTGACTAAAGCCGGCTAAGATGTGCCACGTGGCTTTATCTCACACGAGAGCAGATAGCGCAGAAATCCTCCAGCAAAGCTCCAGCAAAGGCTCGGCACGCTGGTAATTTCCTCTCTTCTTGCTTCCCCGCAGATATCTCTGGTGAGGAGAAGGACATCGTCTTCCTCATTGACAGCTCCGACAGCGTCAGGCCTGACGGGCTCGCTCACATCCGGGATTTCATCAGCAGGATCGTTCAGCAGCTGGAAGTGGGGCCAAACAAAGTGCGGATTGCGGTGGTGCAGTTCAGCAACAACGTCTTCCATGAGTTCTACCTGAAGACCCACAAGTCCAAAAACGCCGTCCTGCAAGCCATCCGCCGTTTGAGGCTTAGAGGGGGCTCCCCCCTGAACGTTGGCAAAGCCCTGGACTACGTGGTGAAGAACTACTTCATCAAGTCTGCGGGGAGCAGGATAGAAGATGGGGTGCCCCAGCACCTCGTCGTCATCCTCGGAGACAGGTCCCAGGACGACGTGAACAGACCTGCCAACATGATCACCTCGACGAACATCAAACCCCTGGGTGTTGGAGCCAGGAATGTGGACAGGGACCAGCTGCAGATCATCACCAGCGACCCTGAGCGCGTGCTGGTGGTACAGGACTTCACAGGGCTCTCAACTTTAGAAAAGAGGGTACAGAGCATTCTCGAAGAACTTCCGATACCTACAACAGAAATACCTGGACCATTCTTACCTGGTAAGGCTGCTATTCTTCGGGTAGACTTTCCTGAACAGAGCACAGATTGTATCTGAACAATGTGAAAATGATTCCCTAGTTACACCTTTTGATTCCCGTCCCTTTAGTTGCATGGATGAAAAGAACACTGATATAGATTTTGCTGAAGCATAGGAAAGAATGGAATTAAATCTGGAAGGAGGTGAGGGTGTCTATCACAAGAACAAGTGAAACCGCATGAGGTGTTACACAAAACCTTTCTTCTTGTGTGGATGTAAAATCCTGCCAATGGTTGATGAAACTAAAATGGTAGGAAAGAGGGAGAAACTTCACTTTGCAAAGTGATGCTTCGCAAATCACTGAGCCACTTAAATATTATAGATGCTGCAAACAATTGTCAACAACTGCGTTTGTGGTTTCTTTTCAGGAGGTAAAAAGCAGGCTGACATTGTGTTTTTGCTGGATGGCTCCATCAATCTGGGGAGAGACAACTTCCAAGAAGTTCTTCAGTTTGTCTACTCTGTGGTGGATGCCATTTACAGGGATGGGGACTCTATCCAGGTGGGGCTGGCCCAGTACAACTCAGATGTCACCGACGAGTTTTTCCTCAAGGACTACTCCACCAAACCTCAGATCTTAGACGCGATCAACAAAGTCATCTACAAAGGCGGGCGAGTGGCGAACACTGGCGCTGCCATCAGGCACATCCAGGAGAGGCACTTTGTGAAGGAGGCCGGCAGCAGGATCGACCAGAGGGTGCCCCAGATCGCCTTCATCGTCACGGGGGGCAAGTCCGTGGATGACGGGCCCAGGGCCTCGCAGGAAATCACGCAGAAAGGCGTGAAGGTGTTCGCAGTGGGCGTGAGGAACATCGACCTGAAGGAAGTCAGCATGTTGGCCAGCGAGAGCGCCATGAGCTTCCGAGCGTCCACAGCCCAGGAGCTGTCCGAGCTCAACGAGCAGGTCCTGGTCACGCTGGAAGCCGCTATGGAGGAGAAACTGTGCCCAGGAGTAACGGAGGTGACAAGAGGTAAGCACAGTTCTTTTGGAACGCGCTGAGGTCGTTCTCAAGGGTGGCTTTAAGTATCCAGGGTGTTTTGATGGACTTACCCTGCCTGAGGTGCAGCATGGGCTCGTTCCTCCTTCGTGAGCGTGGGGGGGGGGCTGCAAACCTGGTGCTGCTGTTCACGTGTGTAACGTGGTGTAACGTCACCACAGAGGTGCCATCGTGGTGGAATTCACTTCACATATGACAGTCAGGCACCAAATCACTGGCCTCCTATCAGTGTCTTGGAGAGGCTCCTTTATTTAGCTGCCTTTGGACTGTCTCACCGCCTTTCCCCCAGATGTGCAGGGACATGATAGCAGTATCATCTTAACAGACAAACTTGTTTAGTGCCCAGATGAAAAGCGATGGTCCTTGTTTTGCCCTTGGTGTCTGTTACATGCTAATTGGACTTCTTGGCCATTGGGGCATACGGAGTGTGCTGGAAATCATAGAATCGTAGAATTCTAGAACGGTTTGGGTTGGAAGGGGGCCCCAAAGATCATATAGTTCCAACCTCCCTGCCATAGGACACCTTCTGCTAGACCAGGTTGCTCCAAGCTTCATCCAACCTGGCCTTGAACAGTTGCAGGAATGGGGCAAACTGTGCCAGTGCCTCACCAGGAAAAATTTCTTCCCAGTGTCCCATCTGACCCTGCCCTCTGTCAGTGGGAAGCAGCCTGATTTCCCCATGCTCCAGACCAACAGTCACCTTGATGGCTGCAGGGTGGTTCCACGCCCACTCTAAATATTCCAGCAGAAAGGCAGACTGGGCATCACCTTGTGAGCTTGGGCTGAGCATCTTCAAATCCTGTTTCTTTCCTAATTCCCAGCTATCCTGTGCAAATCCTAGCTACACCTTTCAGGGATTTGGGATCAGTTACCTCGTTGCCACCTCCCTCTGCATCCCTGAGGCTGTAGGACTGTCACTTCAAGCATGGGCAAAGGGTATAGGTACACTGTGCAAGTACTGACAGGTTTTCATGCCGTGGAAAAAAAGGAGCAGTCTTGGCTACCTGGTGAAAATGAAAATTGTTTTAGGCAGCTCCTCCCAATGAAAAAAGAAAAGAAAAAAGAAAAAGAAGGAAAAAAGTTAAAACTAAGAACGTGCAAATTTTTCCAGGTTGTCATTGCTATGATGAAAGGAAATAGAAGGCACTTGTGTATCAAGTGGTGGCAGTTCTCGGTGCAGAATGTCTTCATGTCACCAGTGACTTAAAGAGTAACCAAAAAAAGCCATTACTTGAAAAACAATCATCATGTTGCTCAATGATGCTCTTCTCTCTCTCTCTCTCTCTCTCTCTCTCTCTCTCTCTCTCTCTCTCTCTGCATTTCCCTTTCAGATTGTGACCTGGATGTGATAATTGGCTTCGATGTCACGGACGTTGGGCCCGGCCAGAACATATTCAACTCCCAGCGGGGTCTGGAGTCGCGGGTCGAGTCGGTGCTGAACAGGATAACGCAGATGCAGAGGATCAGCTGCACTGGCAACCAGGCCCCCAACGTCAGGGTGGCCGTCATGGCCCAGGCGCGGGGAGGGCCCGTGGAGGGCCTGGACTTCTCCGAGTACCAGCCCGAGCTGTTCGAGAGGTTCCGGGACATGCGCGGCCGCGGGCCCTACGTGCTCACGGCCGACACGCTGAGCTCCTACCTCAGCAAGTTCCGGTCCTCGCCCGCCGGCAGCGCCAAGGTGGGTCAGATCCACGGCCACCGCGGGGGTTGCTGGCCAGGGAAGCAACTTTAAAACTCATAAAAAAAAAAAAAAAAAAAAAAGGCAACTTTAAACTCATAATGTGTTTTTTTTTTTAAATTATTCAGTAAATCAGTAGATTTACTCACCATAAATTTGGTCACTTAAACCCCTGCCTGTTTCCTGCACTCTTCACTTCATTGTCAGGGTCCTTGTCCTGACAGCTGACTGAGCATCGCTGCAGCCAGTGCCCACAGCCACTGCTTGGCTGCAAACTATTGCTCTCCAGGCATTTCCCTGACCATGCTCTAGCAACAGGCACACCTGCAGGAGGCAATATGCAGGAACCTGGCAGAGAAACACCTGGAAAAAAAAAAAAAATGGCCTGGAAAAGGCGCAGCGGTTCCCCCACCTCGTCTCAGATGAAGCGTCCCCTGGAAAAAAAAGGCCCTTCAGCTTGCACTTTGATCGTGTTTCTGAAACTTTGTGACATAAACTTATTTCTTCTCTCCCAGGTCATAATCCATTTTACTGATGGTGCAGACGCCCCGATAGATCAGCTGGAGACTGCTTCGTCTACTTTGCATGCAGAAGGTAAACCTTTTACTCTTCAAAGCAGTGATTACAGTCCATGTTAACATGTGGCCCATTTTACCCCCATTTCTCATGAATCCACTGGCTTTTGGCAGTAAGGAGTAAGGGTTTCACGAGTTCTGCAGGCACTGGCTGTTCTTCACTGCTTTCCTGTGGTACTTAGCTGCCTGCTGCCACCTAAGCACGGGGGTATCTTGCACTGAATGTGCCTGTTCTCAGTCGAATGAGCTCCCTTTGCAATCAGAGAGGTGGATGAGGATGTGTCGTCACAGGGGAGGGGGTGCAGGCTCTGCAGAGCACCTTGCCCCATCCCAAAGCCCCCTCTGCTCCCCCCTCTCTCAGGTGTCAGCGCTCTCATCTTCGTGGGGCTGGACCGAGTGAGCAATTTTGACAGAGTGATGCAGCTGGAGTTCGGCCGTGGGTTCACCTACAACAGACCTCTCAGGGTTAATCTGCTGGACCTGGATTTCGAGCTGGCAGAGCAGCTCGTAAGTACCTTGGCACAGGCAGCGCTGCCTTGTAATGCTGGAGGAAAGCCCGTGGCTGGATCTCCTGCAGGGCTGAACCACGACTGGATTACACCCTCTTGGCTCTGCTCCTTCCCCCCTCCCCACCTCACGTCAGCTCTTCTTACAGATGCCACAGCAATTAAAGGGAAGGGCAGATCATGGTGCTGCCTGGTCTCCTGCCCCTCCAGACGAGTGGGATGGGATAGGACACCATCAAAAGCTGCCATGCCAAAAATCCGCCCTCTGCCTGTATTTCTACTGTTGGGGTTTTTAACCGTATGGTAGTGCCCTGTCATACCTGGCCAGTGTCACAGCTTCTTGCAGAAGCACTGCTTTCTAAGTTTCTTTCCCCAAAATTCTATTTAGTTAGTTTCTGCTTAATATTTATGTAATCAGAAAAAGCAAATAAACTGTAAGTCACTGCCTGTTTCAGATGTGCTTTTGACAGACAAAGGAATAATCCTTTAAGGTCCCTTTCAATCCAACCCTCTCCATGCTTTTTTCTTCATAGATTACTGCTCTCTCATATACACAGACCCTCTTGAGTCTGTTTTGTTATTTGCTCTCAACCTTGGAATGTCCAGTTCCTCCCAATTTGTCATCTGCTACCATCATGATTGAGCTCCTTTTGCAGTAGATTTAATAAGATTGGGCTTAGCCACTGATCCCCGTGGTAATCTTGCTGAGCCCTTCTCCGCACATCAAAGTGCTGCCACTTGGGAGTGAACCTTGGGTTTTGGGATAAGAGCTAGTCTTGAGCCCATCCCCAAGTAATTCAGCCTGGGAAAACCCTTCCAAAATGTAAATGTGCAAAGCTGGCAGGAAACATTTGCAGCCAGCAATGTACTTGGCAAAGAAAGTGATTTTTTTTTTCTTTTCTTTCTTTCTTTCTGCTGGATGATGCAAAAACCAGCTGCAATTTCTCTGAGCCCATATCTTTCTTTTTAATTTTTTTTTTCCCCCTTTTACTATGCATTCACAAATCGTTCTCAGCCTGCGTGTTGCTGGTGAGCTGCTCACTGCCACAACTGTCTCGTGGCCTATTCCACATCCTGGGTTGGTTTCTTTGGAGATGAGATTTCTCTCTTCAGTGACAGGCTCTGCTCTGGGGACTGATCTCCTACTAGATGCACTCTAGGAATTCTGCCCCACGCAGCTCCCATTTAAACCCTTCCCTCTGATGTCCAAAATACAGTGTTAGCTTCTGCTTCCTAACCACGTAACCTGACCAGTCTTGCCAACACACAGCTCCTCCTCCTCTTGCTGTTTGGGGGTGTTTCGAGGCAGAGGGACCCCAAAGTGCCGCTGGGTCGATGTGATGTTCGTCACAGGAGCAGTTCCACAGCCTGGCAGGAGTTACAGCGCTGGGGCTCTGCCGAGTTTCTTACACCTTCCTGTTGTGTCCTGTGCTGTTTGCTGCAGGACAACATCGCAGAGAGGACGTGCTGCAAGGTCCCCTGCAAGTGCTCAGGACAGAGAGGGGACAGAGGTGTGCCAGGCCCCATAGGACCAAAGGTAGGTCACTTCATCTGGGGACAAAGGGTCCCCGTGCAAGGGACCCCGGTGGTGATGGGTGGGCGAGATGCCCGTTGGTAGTGGGTGATGTTAATGGGGGGATCATCTCCACTTATTCCCCTCATTTTAAAACTGACTCTGGTCCATGCACTGGGGGCTGAGAGCTGTTCTTCTTCCCTTTCCCCACAGCCTCTGTGTTGTAAAACATCCAAGGGGGGCAGGGATGAGTGGCTGAAAGGAGGAGGTGAAGCATCTTGTGAAACAATTTAGGGACGTTAAAAGGAGATGGCTTCTCTCATTAACTTGTTTACACCGGTGACCAAGCGGCTGCTTTGTGCAAATCCAGGGAAATCTTGAATATCAATCACAGAACTCTGAAAGAAATGCCTAATTCTCTCTGTTGTCTTCCAGGGTGTCACGGGTGACCTTGGATATGCGGGCTATCCTGGTGATGAAGGAGGACCGGTGAGTGCTTGCCCCTGCTGAGGCAGAGACCTCACAACAGCAAAGCATTTAGAGGCTTTTCCACTAAATATTTTCTGCTGGGGATGTGGGTGTGGGTTAGAAGAGACAGAAAGCAGAACTTTGAGGTGCCCCCTCCCAACAGGCTGAACAGCATCTCAGGTCCCAGCTGCTCCTGGGATAAAGTCAGTCAGGAGCTTCCTGAGAGCTGGAGAGGCATGACGGGGGAAGAACTCCCATTACTCGATGTGACCCAGGCCTGTGCTGTTCCTGCAAGGCAAATAAAACCCCCAGCTTCATCCTGCAGCTGCAGAGCTCTGCCAGAGCTTTCCTGCAGCTGAAAGATTTGAGCAAGTCCAAGGATGGAACCAAGAGGGATGTTTCCGTCACGTGGCAGACAACACGAGTCCCATGACTTCTCACTTAGCACTGCTTCATCCAAACTCTCCGTGAATCCCACGTCACCCCTGCAATAAACATCCCTCCCGGGAGGGGAAGCCGAGGCCAGTTTTACAGACCGGGGCCAAGCGCTGCAGTGAGACACTGCCTGCAGTGCGGTGTTTTCCTGGGGCTCAGAGGTCAGGGTGGGATTAGATGCCTCTGCAGAGCTCTGGGGGTTTCACCTCGTCATTTCATCTTTGAAAGAGAAGTTTTATAAAGCTCTTTCATAGCTGAGGGTTTGGGAAGGGTGTTAAATAAGTGATAAATAAGGGCTTGCAGTTGGTCTCTACGCGAGGGATGCTGCAGGCAGGAGATGGTGGGGTGATCAGGCAAAACCTGATGTTCCATTTACTCCTGTGCCTCTTGTAGCAGTTAGGCACAGAAACACGCTTAGCAGGCAAACCCTGACCGTTGCTTTTTTCCCCTCCATGCGACAGGGTGAGCGTGGACCCCCGGGTGTGAACGGGACACAGGGTTTCCAGGGATGCCCCGGGCACAGAGGAACAAAGGTACGTGTGGCACCAGCCTGCACGGAGCAGACCCAGAGCCCAGTGGGTGGGAGTCCACCAAAGGCAGCTCCTGCTGCTTTAGAAGGTGACACAACAGCTGCCACGTCCACTCCAGTGGTGGTGACCGCCTGGCCAAGCACCAAGGCTTTCAGCACAGCAACTTTAGCGTTGCTGTGAAGAGCGAAAGGGAAACCCAGAGACACCCAGGCTCAATCCACAGACAAGGCTGATCTGTTTTCTGCAGTCTGGCTCTGGGGGAAAGATTTGGGAAGAGGTGGATCTCTTCACAACACCCCAGAGTGGCTCAGAGCTGGGACAGTGTGTGGATGGAAATCTGCTGTTGGGGAGCAGGGAGACGAGTGAGCCATGGCTGCAGCTTTAAAGAGGAACCTTGAGCTAATGGCTCAGGACAGCAGCCAGAAAAGGTGGGGAAACATATAATATTTCTGGGAAATATTCAGTGAAACTAAGGGGATGTTTCCTGCCATTTGCTCTGACCCCAGGATCCTCTGTCAGGGAGAAAAGGAGTGCATGAACCAAGCCCATTAGGTGCAGCTAACTGAGTCTCTTTAAAAAAGTCTCTCCAGCCTTGTCGAAGGCACCAGGACTGATTAATAAAAAAGGGGGTGCAGGGAGAAAAAAAAGTCAGGAGTGGAGAAAGAGTTGTGGCTAAGGAATGAGCTGTTTTATTGGATAAGCTGGATTAACCCCACGATCCACATATTGTATCTTGGCACAAGCCTTGAGGAGGCAGCTGAAGAAATGTTGGCATAAGAGGAAATAGGCAAAGTTTTGCCCTGATCCTGGCTCTGGGTCTGCCACCAAGTCCAGCCCTCCTTCTCCACCACTTTCCACAGCAATGAACTGGACAAAAATGGAGTAACTCCCTTTTCTGCTCTCTTTAGGGTTCTCGTGGATTCCCAGGAGAGAAGGTAGGGAGCGATTCCCTCCCGCCACGGCGGTGAGCGTGAATGTACGGACACACTGGGATCTCCCTGTTCCCTTTTCCCTCAGTCAGCATTTCCCCTTTGCCTCTCTTCCACAGGGCGAACTGGGAGAAATGGGCCTGGATGGTATTGATGGGGAAGAGGTCAGTCATTTTAATGGCTTTGCTCTTTGGATCAACACGCCCCAGCGGCGTGTTTAAGGAGCACCTTGGAGGTGGCAAATACGCTGAAATATTTCTCTTTTTTTTAGGGAGACAAGGGTTTGCCTGGCTCCTCTGGAGAGAAGGGATACTCTGGAAGGAGGGTAGGATTTTAACCACTCCTGCAGTGGGGCTAAGGGGTGGTGTCAAGGTGGATTCGAGCCAGGGGAGAGGGGATGGGTAGAGGGATGAGGGCCTGGGTAGAGGTGCTTTTGACAGGCCAGGTTGGGCTGCTCTCCCAACCCTCTGTGTCTTCCTGCAGGGTGATAAGGGAGTTAAAGGCGAACGAGGAGAGCGAGGTGACCGTGGGCTCCGTGGAGATCCGGTAAATACTGCTGAGGCATCTGCTTGGTTTGACACCCCCTTCCCCCTGCTCCTGGGGGTCATCAGCACAGGCTGATTAAATGGTGCTGGACAGTGGCAGGTCCAGTGACAGAGCAGGAGCTGGGAGGGGACACGTGGGCACCACATGCCTCTTGATACCCACCTGCCAATCACTGTTTCACTGTATTAAATCCCCCTTCCTCCCCTTCTTCAGTGTTGTTATCTCTCCCTTGAAAAGCTGTGTCTGCCTGAAAACAGCAATAATGCTTCATCTATTTCAGTCAAAAAGGAAAAAAAAAGAAAAGTTGGTTCTGAGCTCTAGCAGATCAATTTATGATGCCTGATTTTCATGTCCCGCTTACACAGATGTTTCTCATTGCTCTGTTGCTTTCAGGGAGATTCAGGAGCTGATAACACTCAACGGGGCTCCAGAGGCCAAAAGGGTGAAATTGGACCAATGGTAAAATTTCTTTGTTGTCTTGTGTTGTTGTTTGGTTTTTACAATAGGGCGGGACAGAAAAAGTAAGGAAAAAGGGTACTGCCAAAAAGGTGCAGGTTTCTTAAACTCATCGTGCCTTGTCAGATGTAATGGGTTTTTTTCCAGAAGATGTTTCCAGAACATTTCTGGAAAATATTACTCATTTGAACTAAAACTTTCTCTGTGAAGATGTCAATTTAGAAGATTTTTTGTGTAAAAAGTGCCTTTAAAAAAAAAAAAAAATTGTTATTTTACAACGTCTTTTTTGATATTTTCACTGAAAACAACTTTGTGTATGGAAATTAACTTCACACGTTCTTGTGGGTCATATACAGGGACAGAGAACTGTTTAGATGATACCAAATCTGAACCTCCTGATTCACCTTAAACCTTGGGGGGGGGGTGGCGTGTGAACCCCACACTCTCTTTGGAAAATTTCAAACCCCATCTGTTTTCAAATCAGCTCAGAATAAAAATGCACCTTAAAATGTCAGAGGGCATTTCCCAAAGATTGGGGATGTCAAATTGTGCTGGCTCAGAAACTTGATGGAAAATCTCTGTGACTTGATAGAAGGATTCCCACCAGTGCAGGACTATTAAGTACCTTGTGTGAGAACACGAAGGGATCCAGCTTTTGAGAACTGAACCTATTTTCCCAGTGCCTGCTCAGCTCAGGGCTCTCACTTGACTTGTGTTTTTCCCTTAGGGAGAACCAGGACTGCCAGGGCTCAAGGGCCAGGACGGTGGAGTCGGGAGGAAGGTGAGCTGCCAGACCCCAGTCAGCAGGGGGCCAAGCTTAGATGGACAAGAACTTTTTCCCTCCTGCCTTCCCATGTGTTTTGTTTCACAACCATCAGGAATGCAACCTCAAAAACCAACAAAACAAGCAAACAAACAAACAAAAACAAACAAAAAAACCCACAAACAAACAAAAAACCAAACCCACCCAAGCTCAAAAAGGAAAAGCCTGAGGGCTTCCTTGCTCGTTGAAGAGACTTTAAAGGTCTGACCCTGAATTTATTCCCATGCAAATAACTCAGTGCTCAGATCAGTGGAGCTGCACCTGATTTATATATAAGGCCAGGCTGGACAGGGCTTGGAGCAACATGGCAGGGGGGGTTGGAATTAGGGTCCTGAAGGTCCCTTCCAACCCAAACCATTCCATGATGCTGTGATATGCATCTGCCATTTGGCTGCTGGTTTTGAAAAGGCAGAAAGCCAAACTGGAGCTGGTGTGGCTGGAACATCTGGAGATGCATGCCTTCCCTGCTCCCATCCCAGGGATGGTGACACACTCCTGCGAACGTGAGGGAGCAACACACCTACGTGGTGGAGTACTGGGGGGTGTGAGGAGGGAGAAAACATGCCAAAGGTTGATTAGAGACAGCTGGCCATGAGGATTTCTCTTTCCCTCTCTCCCCAGTGGTTTAAACAACTCCAATTTAATTTTGGACTCTGAGCAGCGTAGATACATGGACGTAAAAGCCATAGAGAATCACGTGGTTACATAGTCCAGTAACAAACCTCGTTGTTTCTCCGTTCCAGGGTATGACAGGACGAAGGGGACAGATAGGGGTTAAGGTAAGTGGTGATGGGGACAGCACTTCAAGCTCCTGCCACACCATGGGCCAGCCAGCCCCAGCACCCAAAGACATGTGCCAGGAGATGGGCCTGTTCCTCTCACCTGCTCTCTCCTCCAGATTTCCCTGCTCCTCCTACTCAGGCTCATCTCCCTGCATGCTTCGAGCTGGACTGGGTGCAGAACCAGCCGTGCTGGGGCTGCCTGTCCTGTGCAGCATTCCCTGGCCAGATGCTTTGTCTGCACGTGCTGCTGGAGCAGTGTGACAGGGCCAAAGCATAAAGGGGCTTGATGCCCATTGATTGTAGGGGTCAGATTACCCCGCCCATGCTGTGCTTATTCTCTGCTAGAACTATATCCTGAAGAAAGAGCCAAACCAAGAAAAAAAAAAAAAAAACAAACAACAACCCCTCCCCCCTCCAAAAAAAAATAAAAAAAATTTAAAAAATCCATCCTGCACTGTTCTGTTCTGTGCTTGCAGGGCACCAAGGGCGCTCCGGGTCAGGCGGGGCCGGCTGGAGAACAAGGCATGCGAGGGCCCCAGGTCAGTGAGCCTGCAGCAGAGCAAATGTCCTGCCTCCTGGGGCTGCTGTGTCGTTTCCTCACAACCCCTTACCCAAAGGGTCTCATCAGCATGGGGGGACTGTCAGGATTTGGGTGTTTTTGGGTACGCTGTGGCCTGGCTGTGCTGCCCTGGGGCATCGAGCCTGGTGCGCTCACACCACCCAAAGTGTGATGAGTTTGTGGAACACCTCTCAGGGGCTGCAGCGTTTGCTTTCCTTGGGGACTTGGTGTGTTTCTGCCTGTATGTGTTGACAGTCTCTCTTTTCTCTCCATGCAGGGCCCACCTGGCCAGCTTGGCACACCAGGCATAAGAGGAGAGCAGGGTGTTCCTGGACCCAGGGTAAACCTTCTGCTGCTTCTCGGGCACTGACCCAACAATATCCTTGTTGAACTAACAAGATTCAGCCAATGTGTGTTTCCGTTCCCTAGGGCTCCAGCTCTGCTCCACTCTCTTATAACACACTCTTCCAGCATGATGCTCCTCTCAGCTTACGCTAAAGATTTCTTGATCAAGAGTTATGGAAGAAAAAAAGTTAAAAGCAACCTCAGAGGGGTCAGGACTTCAGCGTTTGGCCTGTTATGGTTTGCCATTTTAGTTAAAGAGCACCCCTGAGTGACTGGCAGGGCATCTTCTGTGACCTTTCAACCTCTGAAGCCAGAGTATGACCATCTCACATGCTTGCTGGGGGGCCCCCCATATATTTATTTCTCTCTCCTACTGCATGGACATAAAACCAGACAATCTTTCATTTCCCCATCACCAGCATGATTTTTTTCCCCTCCTGCTTTCCCATGGTGGGGGGTCTCTAAGGACAATGTGAGGGCGCTGCTGAAATTTTTATTGATATGAGCTGGATGTCCAGCTCTTCATGAACTGGACTTCTAAATTTCCTAAGGTGTTTTGAGAGGCACCACCAGCCCTACTAGTCAGTACATGATTTTCTGTGGTCACCCCAACCCCTGGGTTCTGGCACCCAAGTTTTCTTGACGGCATGCCTCTCCCTATTTCCATTCCAGGCTGGTGGTGGACCCCCAGGAACCCCAGGAGAGCGTGGCAGGATCGGCCCCCTGGGGCAGAAGGTATGTCTCCCTGAGCACTTGGCATCAGCAACCAAAACAGCTTCTTGATTTTGCATGAGCTTAAAAAAATACATGAGATGAACCTCTCGGGCTTGTACAGCGTGGAGTGAAGCAAGGTCAGCGCTCTGCTTGTCTCATTAGGCTCCTGTTTCATTGAACAGAGGGGCAAAAGTAATTAAGGAACTGGGCAGATTCTCAGAGGATGCCCAGGTGGGAAGGTGGTTGTGCTGGATCTCTCCAGACCCTCCATATGACTTTTATCTTTCCTGAAATCACTAAAGGCCCCACTAAAGAGCAAGAATTTTCCAGAATTGCTGGCTGTGTAGGTCCAGCCGTGCCTTTCTGCCACAAGGACCGCTGCAGACTGGTTTGGGTACAGAAACCAGTGCTGATGGGGGGTGGGAAAGGCTCAGAGCTGCCTGGAGTTCCAGCACGTGCTTTAACAGGTGCTCCTGTTTGCAGGGTGAGCCTGGAAACCCTGGACCCAAAGGGCCGAATGGGCAGCCGGGCCCACGAGGGGAGATGGTAAGTGTGGCCACGCCCTCACACCTTTGGGGACACTTAAAGAAGTTTGGGGAACCTTTCAGAGCTTCTCAAAGGCCTGTGGCTTCAGTGGGTTCTTTCTGTTGATGCTGCTGGACATGTGGGGTTTTCAGCTATTTACATATGACTCATATTAACAACTTCGGCTTTCCGATTTTAGGGCGATGACGGACGAGATGGAATTGGGGGCCCAGGTCCTAAAGGCAGGAAGGTAGGTGTATGCTCAGCCTGCCCACCTCCTTAACAAAGACAGGGAAGTTGCCAAGGTCTCCAGTGCAGATGGAGGAGGGCATTTTCTAAAACACATTCAAATAAACCTTTCTGTCGTTTCAGGGAGAACGCGGCTTCGTAGGCTACCCGGGGCCCAAGGTAGGGTGCAGCCCCTGAGCTGTGCATTCCTTTTCCAAGGAATGTAGCCATGATCCTGCAGATCAAGAGCTATAATTTGTGCTTTTCCCCAACCAGGGTGGACCTGGTGACCGCGGTGTTGCTGGAGGCCCCGGCCCAAAAGGAAACAGAGGCCGCAGGGTAAGTCGGATCGTGGCACAACTTTTCCCTTCTGCCTGAATGCCCTGAAAAGATGTACACATCTTTTCCCCCAAGTGCTCCTGGCATTCCTCTGAAGATGTTCACAGGTAGAACTTCTCTCTGTCTCTAGGGAGACGCAGGAGAACCTGGGGCACCTGGTCAGAAAGGAGAGATTGGATATCCTGGACCATCGGTGAGTGTTCCTTCAGCTGGCATCAGCATTGCTGGTGGAGCCTCTGACTTCACCCCTGGAGAGAACCCTGACTGAGGAATGTGGTGGTCCCTGCTGGTGCCAGGGATTGAAAAATAAGCCCATCACCACCTCCTGCTGATTTCAAGTTGGGCAAATCCCTCTTTATTTGTCTTGGATATGTCTCTAAATCTCTAACTGGCTGTTTATCACTGATAAAATATTTACCCGTCCTCCAACTGAAGGAAAAATTCAAGAGGCACACTCTAACCAGGCACTAGGATTTCCCCATGGCAATATGCCCCTTAAAATTCCTTTTGGGATATTATCAGCTCCTTATCATTTATCACCCCACACAGAATGTGGTCCATGACCAAACCTGGCTAGCACAGAGCATCCTAAAGAGGCCAAGGTGACTTGAACTTAGAGCATCGTTAATTATAGAAGCAAAGAGTCATCAAATGGTCTGGGTTGTGAAGGACCTTAAAGATCATCTAGTTCAAACCCCCATTTTGGGTTTGGTCTCAGCTGTGTTTAGTCCCCACGTGGGAAAGCACTTCCCCCTGTGCTGGAAACGCAGATGAAAACAGACAGGTTTTCCCTTGACTTCTGCATAACGTGTGGTTAAATAATAGTTCTGACAGCGTTCATGTGGCACCCTGAAAATACACATTGCTCCCAATTTATTTATTGATTGATTTGTTTGTTTGTTTGTTTTAAACAGGGACTTAAGGGCGACAAAGGAGAATCCAGAGATGTAAGTGTGGCACGATTTCTCTCTTGTTCTGAAGTCCTCTTTGGCTGGCTGTGTGACATATCTCCTTTCTCCCCTCTTTTTCCTGAAGCAATGTGCCCTTGTGCGGAACATCAAGGACAAATGCCGTGAGTACACCAGTGCTCTGCCGAGTCCCTTTCTCTACCCTTCTTTGCCCATCATGTTACGTGACTGGCACTGACCACGCTGCTTTTTTCTCTCCACAGCTTGCTGCTACGGTAAGTCACATTCGGCCCTTTAAACCCCGGGGTGACCGTGTGCCAGAATTGTTTCCCTCCCCACATGCATGGTGTGGGTGATTTACCCCTGCTGTGGACGCGGTCCCTGCACCCTGGCAGGTGTCTGAAACTTAATTTGTTCCCACCGCACATCCCCGGCAGGTCCCAAGGAGTGCCCCGTGTTCCCTACCGAGCTCGCCTTCGCCATCGACACCTCCTCGGGCGTGGGCAGGGAAGTTTTTAACAGGATGAAGCAAACCGTGCTCAGGGTCGTCAACAACTTGACCATCGCTGAGAGCAACTGCCCTCGGGGTGCCCGGGTGGCTTTGGTCACCTACAACAGCGAGGTCACCACCGAGATCCGCTTCGCCGACGCCAGGAAGAAATCCAGCCTCCTCCAGCAGATCCAAAACTTCCAGGCAACCCTGACCACAAAGCCGCGCAGCCTGGAGACTGCCATGTCCTTCGTGGCCAGGAACACCTTCAAGCGCGCCCGGAGTGGCTTCCTCATGAGGAAGGTGGCTGTGTTCTTCAGCAACGGGGACACCAGAGCCTCCCCGCAGCTCAACGACGCCGTGCTGAAGCTCTACGACGCCGGGGTCGTGCCCGTGTTCCTCACCAGCAGGCAGGACGCGGTTCTCAGCAGAGCTCTGGAGGTTTGGGCTCGCTCACCCTTTGTTTCCTTCCCTGCTCGTGACCTCGGTTTGTGGCTTGCAGGGGAGACTGATGGCATTGGATCCTACAGGCAAGCGAGGGGTTGGCTCCCACGGGCCTCTCGAGTGCTCGGCGCTGAGAAAGCACTGCTGGCCAAACTCATCCAGTGTGTCTCCTTGAGAGAGAAATCCTAACTCCACAGTCACCACAGCACGTGTTGTGAGACGCTGCTGGGGTTATCATGAGTCGTTTGTGCTCCAGGCCATGGCTCCAGGGTGCCAGATGTGCCATAAAAACAGAAGGAAGGAATCTCCATAGTGAGAAGGTCTGGCAGAAAAGGCAAAGGGTGGGAAGGTTGGAAGTACATTGGCATTGTTGGCAGAGGGAGAGTGGACGTGCAGAGATTTAAAGCCAGAAAAAAGCCCCGGACAAGCACGCTGAGCACTGGTTCAAGCACTTGATCCTTTTCTTGGAGTTTATGACTCTAAACCAGTCCCACTAACACACATCAGGGCCCTGAGGCTCCTCCAGGTGGGATCCACCAAGGCCGCTGTGCTGAGCGGAGACTCTCTCAGAGTTGGGCACTGCCTTCCCTTACTCTGAGCTGAAAACAAGAGAAGGCAGCATTGCTAACACTGTGTTTCTCTGTTTCTGATCAGATCAACAACACAGCGGTCGGCCACGCCATTGTTCTTCCAACCGGCGGCAGTCAGCTGAATGAAACTATCCTAAGGCTCCTGACTTGTCACATTTGTCTGGGTAAGGCATCCAGTTTCTCCTCTAGACAGTGATAAATCCTTCTGGTCACACAGCACTGAGCTGTAAGGGGTGCAGGAGGGAAGCCCAGCTGGGAGTCAGCCCTTGTGTTGATGAAGACTTGGGTTCTTGAGTTGAGCAAAAAACACTGGCATTGTGAACGAGGCCCACTGGGGGTTCTCCACTTTCTAAAGAGAAGCTCCTTTTTAGTCTGGTTCCCACTTTTCCAGCCCAAATACTGGTAGGTGAATGCTCTCAAAAGATGGCCTTCTGCCATTTATGACAGAGATCCCCTTGGACAAAGGAGCAAGTAAAAATTCTAAGTGCATAACTAAATGTAGTGTGAAATGAATTTGGTGTCAAGTAATGGACCAGTGAATGCCATGGCTTGATAGTATTTAGTATGGTTCAAGAGATTTTTACACTGGAAAGAGAGGGTGAGTTTTAGTTCCTTCAGGTGAAACCTGCTACATTTCTTCCCTATTAGATGTGTGTGACCCCAATCCCATCTGCGGCGCTGTTACCCCGAGACTTGGATTCAGAGACAGAAGGGCAGCCCCGACAGATGTTGACACTGACATAGCCTTCATCATGGACAGCTCGGAGTCCACCACCCCTCTGCAGTTCAGCGAGATGAAGAAGTACATTTCCCACCTCGTCAGTAACCTGGAGATCAGCTCGGAGCCAAAGGCATCCCAGCACCACGCGAGGGTGGCCGTTCTCCAGCAAGCTCCGTACGAACACGAGGCCAACTCGAGCTTCCCACCAGTGAAAACCGAGTTCTCGCTAACAGATTACGGGTCCAAAGAGAAGATCATGAACTACCTCCACAGCCAGATGACCCAGCTGCACGGCACGAGGGCTCTGGGGAGCGCAATTGAACACACCATAGCTCACGTTTTCGAAAGCGCACCGAACCCTCGGGATCTGAGAGTCATCGTTCTGATGATGACGGGCAAGGTGAATAAACAAGAGCTCGAGTACCTGCAGAGGGTCGTGACCAGTGCAAAATGCAAAGGGTACTTCTTCGTGGTCCTGGGCATCGGCAGGAAGGTGAATGCCAAGAATATCTACGGCCTCGCTAGTGAGCCGACTGACGTGTTCTTCAAGCTGGTCGATAAACCAGGAGAGCTCCATGAAGAGCCCTTACTGCGCTTTGGCAGACTGATGCCATCTTTTATCAAAAGTAAGTCCCAACATCCTGCAGCCAGAGTGTTATGGAAGGGGCCACTCAGAGGGGTTAATCTCACGGGTCTGGTCTACCTGCCTGTTGGTGGTGGGAGGGGGTGGCTCTTTGAGCAGTGGGGCCCACTGAAATTGGTCTCTTTTTGTATCTTCTGTGCTGTTCGGTCCATTTGTGGCTGCTCATAGGTTTGCCTAGTTGAATATGTCTAGGTTTTGTTCACTTTGTCCTCCCCATCCCATCCCATGTGGGCTCACCAAGTAGAGTTTGTCCTTCTGTCTGCTTTGACTTGGTCTCCATGGGCTCACCTGTGGGATCTGACCTCATCCTGCGTGGCTTGCCACTCACATCTGCAGTGTATCTCATAGGGTCTGGTCCTGCTGAGGCTCTTGGCCCTTTGCAGCCTGCCAGCACTTCCTTGGAGCTCCTTGAACACCCAGTGAATCCTTCTTCCCAATTTCACCATAAACACCATGTCTGGCAGGTGGCCACTTGGGTGGCTCGGGCTGAGATCTGGAGTTACTGCCTGCAGACTTAGGGACCAGATGGGCAGGATTCTTTGCTCAGGGATAAACAATGCTGCTGTGTTTGGGATGTGCAGACTGTGCCTTGAAAATGTGCATCTCAGCTGAGCTGGAGACCCCAGGCTGGATCTCCAGCAGCCAGGGATCCTAAACACAGCCAGCTAGCAAGGACAAGGAACGGACCTTCTCTGGGAAAGCTGGTTTTAGCAAAAATTCCTGAAAATTAGACTAGTGGGCTGATAAACCACTGATTCAGGCATGTCTTGCACTAGATGGAAAGCAAACATCTGGAAATAAATGTTTAGGTTTTCTCAGTTTGCTTTTTCCATTAACTGCTTACAGCAGTCCTGGAAACTTCTAACTCTTGAAAAAACATCCACCTGTGTGGTTGGAAGTGCCCTGTTACAAGAAATCTGTTTACACATGACAGACTGAGACACACAGCCCTCTGGTATCTTGTAGCTATGACTCTGATGTTTGTTAACTGGAATAACAGATATCCCAGTCCAGGGTGCTGCAGCAGCCACACCAAACATCAAGAGATATTCCATAGCAAGCAAGAAGAGAGAAGCTGTTTTTTTTTTTTTTTTTAAATGAATAAGAAACGCATGTATTGTATTGCTGGTGGGTAACCATCATCCTCAACACCGGTGTTTAATGTCTCACTCTCTCTGTCTCCAGGTGACTTTGCTTTCTACCTGTCTCCAGAGATAAGGAAGCAGTGTGAGTGGCTCCAGAATGACCAGCAAGCCAGGAGCCAGCACCCTGTGCACACTGGGCAGAAAGCAGTGTAAGTACTGGTTTGTCTGCCAGACAGGAAAGTGTTGCTTTTTGTCTCCCTCTTTGTCTCGGAGAGGAGCCTTCACTTCCCAGTCCCTGTTTGGAAAAAGAACAAATAAGCAACTCCAATACCAACAATCAGGATTATCCTTTAATTAATATAATTTTAATAATATTGCAGTTAATTTTGATAGCTCCTTTAGTGCTGTGTCCAAAGAGCAATAGAGATATCCGATAGAGAGGGGTAGACAAGTATATGTATCATTTTCAATTTTTGGTTAAATTTCATGTTTATATATGTATAAAAGTATGAAGGACGTATATGCTCCTTTGACTGTGCAGGTCAGGAACTCCAGAAATCACAATTAATTTGGGGGTTTCTGCTCAACACACTATTTCCAGAGGCTGGGCTGCCCCGGGTTATCTGACAGATAGAATCCATCACAGAATGCATCCTAGTACTTTCTGAAGAGAAGTGAAGGCTTGTGTCACCAAGACTCCCTGCTGGCACAGAGCTGTGCTGGCTTTGGAAGGTTTTTGAGCCCCTTGAAATTAGGCATGTTACAGATCCGTCTGCTGAATCATAGAACGGTTTGGGTTGGAAGGAACCTGAAAGCTCATCGAGTTCCATCCCCCTGCCCTGGGCAGGGACACCTTCCACTAGACCAGATTGCTCCAAGCCCCTGTCCAAGCCGACCTTGAAACACTTGGAACCCTCTCACGTGCGTGTTATTGTTGGTGGACAGATAGACTTGTGCCCTGAGTGACGAGCGGTGCTCTGCAGCACTTTTCAGCGCTTGGTTGTGGGCAAACCAAGAGCTGGCAAAGACTGCTGACCTTGGGGGGGTTCTTGCCAGTGTTTCTCTCTGTCCCGTCCTCTCTGCTCGCAAAAAGGAGAGCCGTCTCAGCCGCTCTTGCCCCGGCAGGTACGCGGCACCCAACGCGACCCTGAGCCGCACCCTCAGCACCACGCTCAGCGCGACCATCAAGCCCGCGGCCAGCACCCGTGCCAGGACCACCACTGCCAGCACCACGGCCCAGGGCAGAGCCAGCGAGCAGAGCACGGCCAGTGCTGCCCTGCCAGCCAGCTCCACCGCCACCAGCACCACCGCCCACGCCAAACCCGCCGCCCGCGCCAACGCCAACACCACGGCCGGCGGCAGGAGGAGACAAGGAGGTTCGTGCACGGCTCTCCCCACCCTCCCTCTGCGCCACGCTGGGCTGTGGCTGTCCTTCCTCCCTGGGGGGGTCACAGCTGCGGCAGATGTCAGTAAAGAGAACAGATTTCATGCTTGCAGGGACAAGCTTTTAGATGCAAACCTGGAGACCTGCGCTGGGGGCCGACTTGTCAACCTGTGTGGAGAATTCTGTGCAAAAGTGGTCGGGGGGGGGGGGGAGGCTGCCCCCAGGCAAAACGTGAGCAGAACAGCTAAACGTGGGACAGTCCATCCAGCAACAGGGAGCTTCTCCTGCTAGCGTGGCCCTTTTGCTTTCTATGATTTCCTCGCAGCATTACCCCTTGGCCAGGCGTTGCTGTTGATGGTGATTCATACAGTGGCATTGTTTGAACTCTCTCTCAGCTAATGTGAATAGTTATTTCATCACTGAATCAGCGTGGAGACCTATTTGGGAGCTCTAAAACTCTTTCATGAGTGAGCACAGTTCATGTAACAGAGACTTCCCATGTGTTTTTGCAAGGGGATGTAGGCAGATCTGCAGTAGCTGAGCAAGTAACGAGATGTGTCAAAGCCCAGAAATGCTTATCCAGTCACTGAAGGCATGTCCCTGCATAAAAAATGAATAAAGAGCAATATATGAAAGAAAGCAGCTGTGAAGCCCTTGCACCCTAGAGAAGGATCTGACTGGACACATTTAGAGTTCTTGGGAAAGTGCTGGGAATTTCAGGCTTTGTAAATCTTGAAAAAAGGAAAAAAAAAAAAAAAGCTTTGATTTGCTAGATTGCAACAGATGATTAGAAATAAATAAATCATCAAGGCTATGGAAAGCAAAGCCCCCCTGCAGTGTGCTGGGTTGAGCCTATGGGATAGCAAAGTCCCAGCCTTGGTTTCACATGCCTTGGCTGTCAGTGGCCTAGGGTGAAGATCCTGCAGCACTGAGGCACTTCTTTCCCTGAGACCTTTCTCCTGATTCTGCCTTGCAGCGAAGGCCCAGGACATCCAGGTCACGGATGTGACGGAGAGCAGCGCCAGGCTGCGCTGGGCCAGCCCCGAGCCGCACCAGGCCTTCGACATCACCGTCACCTCGGCACACGACCACTCCCTGGTGCAGAGGCAGAACCTGACTGGCACTGAGCACGTGCTCCAAGGGCTCAGGAGCGGGCAAAAATACGTCGTGGTCGTCACCGGCTACCAGAAATCGCAGCCCAAAGTAACCTACACGGGGACGTTCACCACGAGTGAGTGCCTCTGAAAAACATGTCTTTTTTTTTTTTGGTTTTGTTTCATTAGATGGACACAAAAAATGGGGGGAAAAGTATGTTAAGGGACAGGGAATCAGTTGGTAGCAACAGCCCCAGCCCTGGCAATGCTCAGTTGTGTCGCTGCATGTCTGCAATCCTCCAGGCCAGCAGCAGGTTATGGCACGGAGCAAATGTGTTTCTTTTTGAAAACGCAAGTTAAACTGCAGTGTGGTTGAATTGACACAGACTGTGGGATAATTAAAGCCAGTCCCAGAGTGGGATTTGTCTTATTGTACGTGCTGGAGGGTTTGTACAATGGTGCAAAAGGTCTGGGTGGGGGTCCAGCCAGCACTGCTGCAATTAATAGTAAGAGTCAAATTAGTAAATTCAGTCCAGCCTGATTGCAAAATAAGCAAGAAAAGCTGCTTCTCCAATCACCATTTCCATATCCTCCTCTCTGCTTCCCATACTATCCAAAAATAAAACCCACAAGACAGAGATTAAATGGAGGGTTTAGCCCTTCGGGGATTTGGGGATCCGAGCTCCATGTGTACAGGTCCCATGTGAGCCTCACCAACCTGAACCCTCTGGCGTGGCCAAAAGTTGCTGCCCAAGACACAGTCAGGTTTTTTTAGTGCAGTTTGGCACAGAGGTGACTCGGCTTGGTGGTATGAAGTTTGTGCTGGTCCTGCCACTGCTGTGTGTCTGGCTTCTTCTGGCACTTCAGATCCCACCTCAGTGCCCACGGAGAGCCTTCCCTTTGGCTTCAGTGGGTTTGGACCAGTCCCTTACCTTCACCAGCAATAAACATTCCCACAAAAACGTGGAGAAAAGGCATCAGTGTGGAGAAGTAACATTTGCATGTGCTGAGTGGGAGCTCCTGCTGCTTAGGGAGTGTGGCCCAGGAGAGCCATGGAACAAGAGAGGGCCCCTCGTGGACGTGGTCCCCTGGAGGATGCCGTTTTTATTCCGTTGCCTCTAAGGCCAGAAGAGCAAAGTTAAACTGGCTACAGAGTGGGCACATCCAGCTCCTGAGCCCCTTCCCAGCCAGTGCTGTGGGGTGACCCTCCCCAGCAGTCAGGTGGGGCCCTGGGGATGCTCCCTTGCGAGCACCCCTGAGGGTGAGAGCTGGGTTGTGCAGCAGAGCCGCTGGCCGGGAGGGAAGGGAAGCCCTCCAGGCGCAGCTGGGCGGCTGTGGGTGACTCATCCCATCAGCTGCCTCCAATTAACATTTCTGAGATGGATGTGTAGGGTAAACAGATCCAGGCCCGACTCCTGCAGCCCGTGTGCATCCCCTGCTCCGGGGCTGGGGCCAGGCAGTTTGTTTGTGGCTGAGCTGATGCTGCAGATGCTCTTCCCCTTGGCTGACCCCCTGCTCCTTCTCCACAGAGGCCTCGGCGCAGACCAAGGTGTCCCTGGCCAACATGATGCTCAACACCGAGCCCCTGGAAGGGCCTGAGAGCGGTGAGTGTGGTGGGAGTGCTGGGCTGGGGGGCTCTGGCAGGACCCCACTGAGAGCCAGTCTTCTCCTTGCCTGCTCCTAAATCCGTCCTTTCCCGGAGTCCTCTCGGGACAGGAGGATCTGTGAGTCCTTTGCTTTGCAGAGCCGACAGGTCATGATCGAGGTGGCATCCTTGGCCATGTGGGTCTGAGCCCTCTGTTGGGGTCTCTGTCCCGTGAGGGATCCAGAACGCCCTGAAGTTGCTGTGGTCTTCATGGGGAACTCAAACCCGGTCCTGTTCCTATAATGAGGATGGGAGATGAGCCACGACCCAAGTGCTGGCCACCCTTCAGGGACAAATTGTGTCCCATAGAGGCAGCATGTGTAGATGTAGGTGTGGATACAGAACATCACCTGATGCTTGCTCATTCCCTCCCTCCCCATTTGGGGCAAACCCCAGGTCTTGGCCCCTGGTTTTAACACACAGCTCCCAACAAGGGCTTGGCCAGACCAGACAGGGCTTGGAGCAGCCTGGTCAGTGGTGGAAAGTGTCCCTGCCCATGGCAAGGGGGATAACTGGATGACTTTAAGATCTCTTCCAACCCAAAACGTTCTGTGATTCTACACCCAACAGCCAGGGATTGCCAGAAGTCACATTTGCAGACTAATTGGTAGCCTCCCTCCAGTTTCACCCATCTGCCCCTCCCCTGCTCCTCTGCCACGGGTGGTGGATGTAGTAAACTGCTAAATGAGTGAGCTGTCAGCTCCTGCTCTGTGGTTGTTCCCATTAACCTGTGCCAATAACCCACGATCACTGTAGCTGTTAATACGTCATTTCATCGCTTTGGTTGACATCGAGCTCATTGTATCAGCACCGTTACACTCAGCTGTACCATCAGTGCCAGGCTGCAGCTCTTCCTCCAAGGACCTGGAAGGGCTCTCAGCCTTCATCAAGCAGCACACCCAACCATGGAACTGTTGTCCAGAACCCATCCCTGAACCATCACTCCCATGTTTTTCTTTAAGTGTTTTGCTTGCGCTGTGGCTCATTTTCTTCCCGAGGAGATGCTGCTGCTCAGTGTGCTCAGCCAAGAGCTGGGGAGCTGCTGCTGAGCTCTGGCTGCTGCTTGTGCTGAGTGGGATGAACATGGACCTCATGCCTGGCTGGTGGCACCACTGGAGGGGCCGAGGGCTTGTGCCAGGCAGGCACCATCTCATTTCTGCCTCCCTGCATGGCCCATCATCCCACCCTTCCCGTATGTTCCCGCTCCTTTGGCCTTTGGTCCCTCTCCCTGGCACTGCCATCCCCTCAGAAGCCTTGTCCCCACCCTCGTGGCTTCATTTAACCTGTTGTGTGCCAGCCCCTTGGAAACAAGATTTGCAGGCTTTTCCTGCTCGAAGCAAGATGGGTGTGCTCGCCCTGTGCTCCCACACAAACCTCTCTTTCTCAGCTCCTCTTGATGACCCACTTGCAACAAACGCCCCTGCCCGAGGATTTATGGCAGCTGGCAATTTAGGGGGGGGGAATATTCCCCAGGGATGCTAATATGAAGGTTTTCACCAGGCTGAAGACCTTAAAGAGGGCAGGGAGTTTGGGAAGGGTTTAGCCCAGTCTCTGTGCAACAGGAGAGACCCGCGTGCAAATCTTCTCACAGACCTTGGAGGAAGCCCCAAATTCTGCCCTCCCTGTATAGGTAAAACAGCATGGGTGGACTAGCATTGCTGATTAAAACTCTGTGGTATGAACCTAAATTACCTATTTTGGGGCCAGGAGAGCAGCATATGTTTAAATCTGCACCAAGCCTTCAAGTCCCCCAGGTGCAGCTTGCTTTTGGAGATAAGCACTCTGAAAGATTCAAAGCTGCAGCCAAGACAAATAGCTTTGAAAATAGGTGGTGGGCGGGGGGGAGTTGTGTGAGGGCTCAATCCTGAGTGCACCAGCAGGGAGTAAGGGGCTCCCACCATGCTGCTCCAGTTTGGAGTTTGGATGCATGACAACATCAAGAGCGAGGAGAGGTAAGCTGGAGGCTGGGGAAGGTTTGCATCCAGCAAGGGAGATCAGGGGAGAAGGAAATGCCACCAGTCCTACACTGGGCTTTGTTTTCCTTTTTTTTTTTTTTTTTCTTTTTTCTTTTCAGTCTCTCTTTGCTTTTTCAGCTTTTTAACCCTTTCAGAGTCACTTAACCTTTGCACCTTTTGACATGCAGATTGGCCAGACCCTTGCTTGCTGGACTTTGACATGGGCATGCAGTGCAAGGACTATCAGATTGTGTGGTTCTTTGACTACAAACACAAGTTCTGCAGCCAGGGTTGGTATGGTGGCTGTGGAGGTAATGCCAATAGATTTGAGGCCGAAGCAGAGTGCATTAGCAAATGCTTAAAGCCATGTAAGTACCATGTGGGGAATGAATCCTTCTGTGTTTTATCCTGTTGTCAAATGATGTTTGGATGGGAGAGAAGGCACAGTTTAAAATCCAAACCCATGCTCTTTTTCCTCCAGCAGCAGCTGAGAAAGCCATGCAGCAGCCGCTCCTTGAGAAGAGATTATCATCAGGTAAGACCCAAAAAAAACCCATTAATAATCACAAAGGCAAATTAAGGACCCTCTCCCACCTTCTTGATTTTCTTAGGTTTATTTTAGTCTCCTTAAAAGGAGCTTGGGAATATTAGGCTTGGGAATTTTTGCCACTGGCAGCCCGAGTCCAGCTGTGGATGCCCCCTAAAGAAATGTGCAGGCAAGTAAGGAGGAGGCCACCACCAGCCAAGGGAGATGCCTGGGCTGGAAAAAGGAGGTTTGGGGGTTCAAATGGGGATCATGAATCCCTTGGTTGCAGTTTGAGGAGTTTCCCAGCCAGAGGAAGCAGTTTACAGCCTGTGCAGCAGAAACCCAAATCTTCAACCTAGAGCTTCACCTGCAGCTCAGCTGGGCATTGGGTTGGGCTCTGGGTTCAGCCCATACCAGGTGCAACACAGAAATGAGTTCTCTCCCAAACCTTAGGGTTCCTGGGGTACAAAAATGTGCCTCAGACACACCTTCCACTTGAAACCTTTTAAAAGCTGTGATAGCCTTTATTTATTGACTTCATATACATGTATATTTTTTTTTTCATGTGTAGATGTGGTGCTTGGTGTTGTAGTGGTGGACTTTGCAATGCTGGGGAATGGTTGGACTCGAGGGATTTTCCAACCTGAATGAATCTATTATTATTTATTATTAATAATAATAATAATAATAATTTAAAAATTTTAATTTTTTATTTTAATTTTTAATTTTAATTTTTTTTTAATTCTAATTTTCTTAATTTTATTTTTTTTAATTTTAATTTTTTACCATGACAAAAGTAACACTATGTGCCACTGAGGAGCCCAGGCTCATTTACTCCATGGGGTGAATTAAAACCCTGGCTTGCCGTGGCTCTCCCCATCTTTTGGGTCCACTGCCAGACCTGCTTTCTAGTTGGGATTTCAGGGATAATCCTCTGTGCCCTTCTTCCTGTTAAAATAGGTTAGAGGGGTTTATTACACCTTTGCTTTCAGCAGGCACTAAAGAAACTTACACAGATGCATTTGCCAGCATCTATTTACCCTCTATCTGTGTAGTCTTTCCTGTATTTTTTTGTGTAGGAGAAACCAGGTAAGAACTCCCAGCCCCTCGCAAAATGCTTTTCCTTATTGCTTGGGACAGGTTGAGTTAACTCTGCTTTTTTGGGGGAAAAAAAAAAAAAGAAAGAAAAGGAAAGAAAGGTAAAGGTGCCTTTTTTTCGTTAAAAAAGGGTCCTGGTTGCAAACATCCCTCCAGCAAGAGGAACTCACACTTTGTGTGTTGTGACTCCCCCTCATCCAGGATGAGGGGGGTGGCACGAGCAGAGGTGGCACGAGCTCCTTCTGCACCCCTGTGTGCAAGGGAGGTTTATGACGTGGTAAATTAATGGCTAATATCACATTTCATTTTAAAAGTTACTCGGAAGTTTCATTTTAACACGTCCAAGTGCTGTGTTGTTGTGTTCCCTGCTCACCCAGCAAGGGATGCAGGATAGTGTGGGCAGGGTGTGGTGGATCCAGGAGCACCTTCACACGGAAGATTTCTCTTTTCAGAGGAAGGCAGGCATTTTAAGAGGAAAATGCTGGTGCCAATACATTTTCCCTTGCAGCCCAGGCAGTCCTGTCCCAGATCTGAGACCTGCCAATCACCTCCTGCAGATCCTGGGGATTTGCAGGCAACTGCTGCTGGGCAGTGCCCTTCCTGCATCTCATCATCACTCTGTGGATATAACATGGACCAGGGCTTTGGGCCAGGGCTGGTGACTTCCAGGGAAAGGCCTTCTCTTTGCAAGGGAAGAGATGGGATTTAATCACAGGAGGCTTGCAGAGTCAGCGCCGTGGTTGCCCCGTCTGAGCTCGCATGCCAAGCCCTCCGCCACGCAGACACGGTCAGGAGGGGCTGTGCTGTCGCTGACCACTCTTGCACCTGCTTTTATCTGCAGCCATGGACATCTGCCGGCTGCAGAAGGACGAGGGGACCTGCAGGACCTTTGTGCTGAAGTGGTACTACGACCCTGAGACCAGGAGCTGCGCCCGGTTCTGGTACGGCGGCTGCGGCGGCAACGAGAACAGATTTAACACGCAGAAAGAATGTGAAAAGCTTTGCATCCCTGGTAAGGAGGGGCCAGCCGGACCCCTGGCGTTCCCAGTCCCTTGTCAGGCCCTGGCAATTGACCCATTTACCTCCCCCCACTGTCCTGCGTGGAATAACCTCATTTATTTCCTCTTTCTCTGTCAAACCCCTTGCAGGGAACATCAACCCTGGTGTGGTGACAACAATAGGAACATAGAACCAACGCATACCTCTGAGACAGCCAGGAGCATCAGCGCTGCCACCTTGCCCCTATAGAAGCTGAGGGTATAGACGACCTTGCACTGTAACGTTTCATGCTTTTAACTTCCGAGCAAACCCCGATTCAGGCAGGGTTCTGCTGCATGACCTATCAATATGGTGCTAAACTGTTTGTGGACTGAGTGCTGCACATGCCAGGGTTATATTGTATAGCTTCAAAACTGCCCAGTATTTACCTAACTGCAGGTTGCTGTTGTCTCTCAACGTGTCTCTAAATTACCCCTTTTTATCCTGATTCCGGCAGTTCGCCTGTCTAAGGCTCCATAAAAATTAGTAAAAAGAAGAAAAAAAAAAAAAAGGGGGGGGGATCATAATAATTTCACTGCAACTTGCTACCTGCTTGCTTTGAACCTTCTCGTAGCTGAGCGTGCCTTTACAGGGGAAGCCTTTGTGTAAGAGAGTGGCTGATTCAGATAAACAAGTGGTTCCGTTTTCACTCTTCCTCTTTTATTGTTTTCCTCCTTTTGCTGGATTAGATCTCAGACTAGATCTCTTTGTATGCATTTGTTACACACGTGGCCAACCGAACTAGCAAGGAAAAGGAAGCAGAGTTTCCAAATGCAAATGCACTGCTGGGACCAAGGCCTCAGTTTAACAAATTTTTAAATTGTGGTGTAGGATGCCTCTTCTGGCGTTCTTCTGATGTTGTATGTTTTATAAAATACGAAGCAAAGCAATCTGGGGTGGGGGTAGCGGTGGGTGGGAGAGGGATTTTATTTTTATTGTGGGTTCTGTGTCAGGAAGTCTATACAAAAAGAACTTTTAAATAAAGTCTAATGGAGGTTTTGAGAAACTCATGGGGTTTGTCTTTGTTAAAGCCACAATGGGTATCAGTGGAACCATTTTCCAGGGTTTGGAAAGCAGTTATTTGCTGGGAAATTCCCCCTGTCCCTTAAAGGCGAGATAGATGTAGTGTGGATATTCAGGGGAGCATCACTGAGATACTGCTGGTAACCTGGAGTTTTCCAGCTTGGAAACCGAGATGCCTTGGTTGTGAAATCTCCATCCCAGAGGAATTTAAACTCAGCTGGACATGGCATGGAGCAACTTGGCCTCAGCTGGCTTTGAGCAGGGTGTTGGGCCTGGGTGTCCCTTCCAACCGCTGTGACTCAATGACCCCAGAAGTATTTTCATCTGTCTCCTTTGCTGTCCATAGCCGTGATTTTGAGCTTAGGCTATTCCTGTCCTCATCTGAGCTTAGGCTATTCCTGTCCTCATCTGAGCTCACCCAAGGAAGCCAAAATTCACGGGAGCAACGCAACATATCCCTGCCTCTCCAAAAATCCCCCCTGAAAAGCACAAAGCAGATGAATGTGACAGCCCCAGGGCACGGGGCAGCTCTGGGGCTGATGTTTCTCAGTTTCCCTGAGCCCCCATTGTGGTCTGCTGGTAGGGGTGGATAACTTCTCTCATTTCCTGCTGGAGGTGCCTGGAGGGAAGAATTGAGCCTTGCAGGCACATGCCATGGAGAGGCCAAAAGCAGGGCAGGTCCCTGCATTGACTTCTGGAGAATGGAGTTGCATTGGTTAAATCTTGGGAAGGAGAGCCAGGGCTCCTTACACTTTAGGGCTTATCCAGTGTTTTCCTCCATGGATCAGGGTGGGACTGTCACAAGGAGAAGGCTTCTCCGTGCTCTCCCACCCCACATTTTGAGGTGCTGCTTTCTGAAGCACTTCAGGGGGGTCTCCAAGGACCGCCACGTGAGACATTCCACGTGCGTTGTGTACGACGACTTTGGAAGCACCAACCCCAACAGGATGATTTACCCTCCACAACACCAATTTACAAGACTGAATTTAGCTGATCCAACACCTCAGGCTCCCTGTTCAGTGCTGCTGCACACGATCATCAGGATTCCAAGAGCCTCACCTGGACTCGTCCAGCTGAGCGGGGCTGCAGATCCATACGGATCTGGAATCCAACAGGTCGGGCAGGGAGAGCTCACAGGGCTTCCCGTGGGGGCTTTACAGTTTTAGGCACCCCATTCTTGGCACTCAGAGCAGCCAAGATCCCAAAGCTTCCCGTCAGTACCAAGCCACTTGGGTGGGGGAGAGGGCAGAGCAGGACACGGCTCGGCTGGGGACGAGCCGAGCCACATGGCAGCTGCACTTGGGAAACTGCACTGTTTATTTGGCACCCTCTCCGAGCACATCACAAGGGCTTTATTAAAAAAAAAAAAAAAAAAAAAAGAGGGGAAGGGGTAAATGTTATTTATTTATTTATTATTGTAAGTGGGTCCTGCGACGGCTGCACCCGGCTGTGGCTGCTCCCGAGCACACAGAGCAGCCTGCCCTGCCCCTCACCGCGAATGGACCATGCCCAAGACCCCCTTTTTCTGCTCTCATGGGGTACGAGAGCTGCCCTTAGGTTAAAAGTGATCCTTCCCTTCGTCCTCCCACCCCTCTGCAGCACGGGAGAGGTTTCCCAATGCCTGTGCCGCCTCCGTTTCCCGGGAAAGCTGCTTTCAATGGACCGTGCAGACCTCCGGGATGCAGAGGAGCAGCCCGGGCTTTCACAACGTGCCGGGAACGGGGGGGAAGAGGAGGAGGAGGAGGCTTGGGAAGGGGGCCCCGCATTCCCTCCCATGCCTGGGGCGTTGCATCGCCTCTCCCGAGCCTTTTAAGGAAGCACGGTATGCCCCGGGCCCCCGGCCAGCGGCCACGAGGGGCTGCACATGGAAGTCATTGCAGCTGGGAGCGCATCTGCCAGCGTGGCTGCGGGACCAGACCGCGAGTAAAAATAGCTCAGCCCGCTCTGCTCCCGCCTGCCCGTGGGGAGCCCCCGGATCCACGCCCTGCTGCTTTTGGGGTGGCCTCAGGGTCCCCTCTGAGCCGGATTTCTTACGGAGACAATCCTGTCTAAAGCTCCTGCATCAGAAGTGGCGTCGCCTCAAGCCCTGCCCAGGAGTGGGACAGCAGAGACACCAGTGTCAGACTCCAGTCTAGAATTCCCCCCCAAGCTGAGGGTGCCTTGTGGAATAAAAGAACTTCACTGGAATTGCTTTAAATCTCCAGAGTTTTGCAGGAAAGGGTCAGGGAAACCTTCGCAGGGCTGATGTAGGCTGAGTTGACCCTGACATGGAGACCTGCATGAAGTCCAAGCGAGCCTTGAATTTAATGCTTTGTCTTCAAATCTGAGTGCTAATTCTGTCACAGAATCATAAAATGGCCTGGGTTGGAAGGGGAACTTTAAAATCAACTCATTCCACCCCCTGCCATGGGCAGGGACACCTTCCACCAGCCCAGGTGGCTCCAAGCCCCATCCAACCTGGCCCTGGACACTTCCAGGGATCCAGGAGCAGCCCCAGCTTCTCTGGGCACCCTGTGCCAGGGCCTGCCCACCCTCACAGGGAAGGATTTCTTGCTCTAATCCCCAATCTAAACCTACTCTCTGTCAGTTTGAAACCATCACCCTATGTCCTGCCCCTTCATGATCCTATAAATAGTCTCTCTCCATCTTTTTTTGTGGGGTCCCTTCAGGTACTGAAAGAAGATGGGTGATTTACAACCAGCAGAGCCACCAGCCCTTCTTTTACCACTGACCTTCCTCATGGAGCATTTCACAGTAAGGTTGCCCAGAAGAAGCCACAAAATCCTACATCCCCTCCTGCCCCCACACCTCCTCCCTAGAGGGAGTTAAACATTGAAAGCAGAATTTAACCCTTAAATTTAAGGCATCAGCAGCATTTAATGCTTGGTTAGGTTCCCTTAGTGCTCTAGCTTTGCATTTAATCATAGCCTTCTTGGGAGACCTTTACAGGGAGAGGCAAAGTGGCTTTGACACATTTTATTAGCCGGTATTAAATTTATGACATCCATAAAGGAAGCCAGTCCATAGATGTACACATGTACCTGCCTAGATCCTTCCAGTTAAACAGGGGTTTCCAGCAATGCCCTACACGGCAAGTGTTGACATTGCAAGGTCAAGAGTTGAAGGAAAAGGATGTCTTCCACGCTGGGTGTTCCTGGAAATTAGGACTGTATCCAAGTGCTTCAGCATAGATGCAGATAGACTTGAAGCAGCTGAGCCTGGAGGAAAGGATCTTCACATAACTGGAGCAGAAATATGGGCGTTTTCTTGGCCAGGGGTCTTCTGCGTGGCCATCACCCTACCCTTGGTCCTTCCTGCAGCCTTCTGCTCGTGAGATGGGAAGGCTACATCTCCCAACCCTACAATTGTTAACCCTCTGAGCAACAATAAGCTGGGAGAAAGGGATTTGGAACCTCTTAGATTTTTCTAGGTGCTCATTTGCTCTCTGCCTGTGTTTTATAGCCCCCTAAGCTCTTCAGGGCAGGGTGGTTTCCCCCCTGGGAGCAGGACCTGGTTCACCACGAGTGAGCACCATCCCTGCCGTCTGAGCTGCCCCGTGTCGGGCATCCTGGGTGGCTTCAAATCCTTTTTAAATCCGTGACCCTTTCTCAGCCCCTTGCCCAGCAGCTGTGGATCACTCCCAGAGTGGCAGGAGGGAGAGCTTGCTGGAAGCACAGCCTCCCCGAAGGAACGTGGCGGGACGAGGAGCGGCAGCAGTGGCCGGGGCTGCGCTCCAGCTGTGGGATGATTTACGAGGCAGCAGGAGCACGGCTCTCGCTCAGAGAAACGAGGCAGATCCGAACCAGATGTCTAACCTTTATCTCCACGGCTGGGGAGACGGAGGAGCAGACAGGGGGAGAGGGAAAGACGTTGGAGTTTCCATGAGCTGCTGCTGCGCTGCCTTCCCAAAGCCAGCTCAGAAAGAAAAATGAGCACCAGGAGCCAGGAAAACTTTGCTTTGGTGAACTATATGTTTGTTTCGCCCTCTGCTGCTGTGGCAACCACACCAAAATCAAAGCGCGGCCGGCTGGGGTGACCTCATCCTATTGCTCCATCAAAATCGGATATTATAGAGGTATAACCCGGGCAGAGCACTGAGGACGTGCCCTTCGCTCTGCTCTCCAGGACAGAGCAGTTCTCCTGGGAGGGTGGGCAGGCCCTGGCACAGGTTGCCCAGAGAAGCTGTGGCTGCCCCTGGATCCCTGGAAGTGTCCAAGGCCAGGTTGGACGGGGCTTGGAGCACCCTGGGCTGGTGAAAGGTGTCCCTGCCCATGGCAGGGGGTGGCACTGGATGAGCTTTAAGGTCCTTTCCAGCCCAAACTTTAAGATTCTCTGATTTCCAAACTCCTAGCTCCATGCCTTGCAGCCAAGGAAATACCCTAGGCATAACATCCAGCTCTCACTTACCCAAAATTTCCTTCCAAACCTGGGATGAAAGCACCCCAGTGTGCTGCTGGGGATCCCCTCTGA